AATATAGGTATGGAATATTGTAATGGGTGAAAAATGTAATTGATACAGCTTATGCTATAAATAATATAAATGACATAGTGGAGTAACTTGAAACAGTCATGCTCGCTATAAAGTTCAAACTTGTGGCGGCGTGGTGGGCCGAGTCGATTCCCTCTAATATGGTTTAGTGCAATGATGGCTGACTCATCCGTCATACTCGTGAACGGGTGCTGCTAGTGGGGACTGGTCTGTTCAGGTTGCGAACACTGATTTTTTGTTTTTTTGCAATAGCATATGCTGGTGGTCACTCTATTCTCCAAATTTGAACTTAAATGAATCTGTATTATTCAAAATATGTACGCCCGTTTATTTAAAAAAAATACGAGCTGAGTTTCTTGTCAGTTCTTCGAAAATAGGTAGGTATAATAAGTTTTACTCAATAATTATTTCTTAATAAAAAAGTAATTTATTACTATTTAAAAACCTATTAACTTTATCTAATTGCATTAGTATACAGAGGTTTAACCCAACTTCGAGAGTGATCTAGATACACGTCAGCTGCGCCCCTCTAAAGACCCTATATTATAAATTTTAACTCGTACTAGTCACATGGCCTGGAAAGAAGGTCATAACCAGGAGCATTTAATGGTGACTGGCAAGGTGGATGTGAAACGTTCTAGAGGGCATAGCCACACATAGATCATCTTATCTAACCAAATTCGCTCATCTCTGGACACTGCGTTTCATTAGGCAAAAGACCGGCACAGATGGAGGAGTGTAATCAAAGAGAAGTAATTCTGCGAAGCTGTCACGACCTCCTGAGGAAAACAACTTGAGGAGAAGGAGTAATAAACTTGGTGGCTATAGTTCATGTTACTACAGGTGTGGTAGTTGTTCCACCGTCCCACCCCACCTCATTAGGTCCGAAGTCACGGAGTAGTCGCGAGATGAAATAAGTTCCGCATAGGGAACCCGCAGAGTTGGGTCCTGCTATTAGAGGGGGCCACCGCAGTCGAAGTCGCGGTGGACTGACATTGACCCTGCTATGATTTTGACATTTAACGACAAAACGTTAAAATCGTTAGGGATCCATATGAAAACTTTGATAATATATCCCAACGTGGGAAAAGAATCCTTAAATGGTTTACGATGAGGTAGATATCGATAATAGAGCAAGGTGATGCACTGCAGTTTTATAGAGTACGTCAATATTGAAGAGTGTATATGTGTTAAACTTATTATTTTTGTTAAATCGGGACCAAAATTGTCAAGTCGGGTCGGTCGCCTGTTATTAATATTTAAAGCAATATGTATTTATATGGATTCATATCACGTGGCGTGGTGTGGCAAGAGGGTTGTTATTAGTACTAGTTATATATATAAGTAGAATATATCTGGTATATGAGAATAAGTGTGTGATACCTTGGGGGTACCTACTTTATATTTTTAACTAGCTACTCGCCCCGGCTTCGCCCGGGTGTACATGTATTATATAATACATATAAACCTTCCTCTTGAATCACTCTATCTATTTAAAAAACCGGCTTCAAAATCTGTTGCGTAGTTTTAAAGATTTAAGCATACATGGACAGACAGCGACAGCGACTTTGTTTTAATAAAATATGTAATGATGATAAGGCAAGAAAAAGATTGAATAACGAGATGACTGCGAATTACACCGACTACTATACCATTAATAAATATATATCTCCTAAATAAGTTTAAGTGTCTGATATATTAAAGCACTCCACTTTATATTTTTGATTGGCAAGAAAGGGACATAACAAGATGACTGCGAACAGGGATGAATGAGGGAAAAAATCATATGCCGACCCCAAACGAATGAGATAAGGAAGAAGCAGAGACCTTGGGAGTAAATTAGATAATAATAATAATCACACCGCGCCATCTAGACCTAAATTAAGCTAGCTAAAGCGTGTGTTATTTCAACTAAATATATGTATTTACAAAAATAAAAAATAAATCTATGTATACATAGAAAACACCCAGACCGGTACAAACAATCATACTCATGATACAAAATGTTTGTGCCGTGCGAGGAATCGAACCTGCGACCATCAGACGTAAAGCGGTGTTCTAGACCGCTAGACCACCGAGGTCGTCAGTAGATGTAAGAGTAACTATTATTTGTTGTGTATCCTTTTTCCCTGTTTCTTTAAGAACATGTAGAAACTTAATATGGATAATTATGGAATGGTGCTCCCGCCTGCGCTAGTGGTGGCGGGGCACCAGTGGATGATGATAAGATGAAAATGAGGTTAGGTCAGTAAGCCCATCGGGACAAATTCATCAGGAATTCATCACGATGGTTTCCAGGGGGAACCGTTTGGAGGTCAACCTGACCAAGTCAGGCCATATTGCTAGCAATGGAGTAATTATTTCATATTACTAACAATCCCTTTCTGCCTCTTTATTGAGGGGTTTTTTTAAAGGATGATAATGGAATGATGCACCCGTCTGCGCTAACGGTTTACGCTGGCTGGGCACCAGTGGAGGATGATAGGATGAACATGAAGTCAGATTAGTTAGCCCAACGTGACAAATTCACCGGGAATGTATCACGATGGTTTCCAGGGGGAACCGCGTGGAGGTCAACCTGACATGGTACATTGCTAGCAATGGGGTCATGCGTCCACATTACTAACAATCCTCTTGCCCCCATTATTATTGAGGGGTTTGGGGACAATAGTCAGGTGCTGCGACCTACATAGATGATAATAGCTCGCCCGTTCTCAGAGTTGGCTACCTAGACCAGTCAGGGACAAGAATTGAAAGATATTCTTAATAGCGATGGTTTTATCTCCTCAGGATAAAGCGTAAACTTTCCAAAGGAGATATTTCGTTTATGCATGAGTGGGCTACAACCACATAGGATGTAGCAGTGCGCACACTGCCTTTTTTCCGATGTACTTAGTATGTTGTTTTGGCAAAAACATAATATTTCATAGACAGTAAAACCTAAGTAAGGTGGGAGGCAATTTAGTAGAGTTATTGTCCAATGAATTTATTATTAAGATGTGAGTCTCATAAACTATTTACGATAATGTGATTGTTTATAATAACATATCCCTATTTTTTTTTTTTTTTAATTTCTTTTTAAATTTAGGGACTTTTGTGCCATCTAAGTACATGTCAGTCCCATTGTACCCTAAAACCATATCCCTATTTGCGCAGTAATTGGTCTGGATATTCTGTATGTATTTAACAAAAAATATATATATTTATTTATATTAGTTGTCTAGTACACATAATACAAACTAAGCAGCTTCGAACTTGATGGCGCTGTGTGAATTCTATTACTGATTATAATTGTTAAATTAACTAGATGTTCTAAATTTACTTTTTTGTCTTTATACTATGGCATTGGCAAACAAGCATATAGCCCATCCGATGGTAAATTGTTACAGTAGTGTCGTCTGAAACACCAGGAGTGTCACGTACGCGTTGCCGACCCTTAACAAATTTTAATATAGGTACCCTTCTTCCACAATCTAAGCGTACGTAGGAGGAAACTCCTCTGAAACTGCACTGTCCGAGAGATCACTTAGGTTACAGCGTATGGGAAAGAATTCCCTGTCGATGGTAATAGCTGGATGTTTGTTTTTAAATAAATAAGTATGTATATTTCTAATAGTAGATACGTATTGATATGTTGGACATTTAAATATTCTTCAATAAATATTTATATTTATAATAGTAGATACGTATTGATGAATGTGAGGTGGACATTGACACCAATTCGCTATGCTATACGGTACGGTTGCACTTGAAACGGAAGCTGGACGAGACAACCGGTTCAATCCGTGACCTTCCTGTGTATAATGTAACTAGTTATAACTCGCGGCTTCACCCGCGTAATTAGAATAACAGTTATCATAACTGTCTGAATTTTTTATACCCAATTTTAGCTGCCCATGCTTGGCCAAGTAACAATCATAGAAACATCTTCAAACTCATATATATTTTCACCAGATTAGTGTGATATGCTGTGCCGTATTTATGAAAAAAAAAACAATTCGGAACTCTATGCAAAAAATATTATTATATTATTATCCATAATTTAAAAATTTCCAATAATATTAATAGTCAACTAAATTAATAGTTTCTGTCAACGCTAATGTAACGAGCACAAATTGAAATAGAAATAATCAGAGATTATTTCTATTTCAATTTGAGCTCAATTCCCATAAATGAGGTGGCAACTTTTTAAAAATATTGTACTAATTACTCTGTGGTATTCTTAATTTGAAACCCAAGAAAACTAAAAACAGCACATAATTTAAGGTTATAGGTATGCAACAACAACAAACACATCTTTGTGGAACGTGCATTAGGTATCCAGTGTCAGAATTAAAAAAAAAATAGCCGACCACAGATTCCGTATAATGAATGCTTGGGAAATTTATTGAGAGAACTTAAGGAGATTAATAATAAAGCCGGTCGAAGCCTGACCAGACAACTGAATAGGGCTTCGTATGTTCAATGTGACTCAGTCCACGCGGGGCGGCGAAACAATCGCATCAACTGATTCAGACGATATTTTAAACTAAGTATATTGGTTGTTTTAGTACATTTAAGTATGTTATCCCCAGTACTAACAATGATAATAATAACCCAGGATAATAATTAAACACACATCTCCGCTACTACTAGTACTACTAGACTTCTTATATAAAGAAATATATTTTTTGTAAATACATACATAATATACATAGGAAATACCCAGACCAATACAAATATACTCATGAATACAAATGTTTGTTCCGTGCGAGGAATCAAACCCGCGACCTTCGGGCGTAAAGCGGTGTGCTAAACCGCTATACCACCAAGGTCGTCCAAAATGATACACATAAGTTCATAATCGTATATTCACAACTGTATTGTATACTTGTATCCCATTCGCGACACAGCATAAGCATAATCTCCACTTTCTCGGGCACATGGTTGTACTCGATAAAAAAACACACACTTTATTATATTATTTTGTTTGTTTGTTACAGAATGATAACAGCAGTCAATGAATTCCTCGACGACCTTCGGTAAGTCCGTTTCACACCTATTAATATATAACTAACAGCTCGCCCTGACTTTGCTCGGTTTAAACAAACTATACAACTACACACACTATACCAAATGGAAAAAAAATATATAAAAATAAATAAAAAATGTTTGAGCTTTTTCATAAACACGCACTCTCAAAATTCAAATTCAAAATATCTATATTCATGTATTACAGACATCTATTACAGACTCTTATGGTATGTCAAATCTACCGTCACTTCGGAATGATTTCGAGATGAGAAGAACTGGAAAGAAACTCGGCTCGTATTCTTTTTAAAGAAATGTTGTACATGTTGACAATAGTTTATAGCATTAACACATAGTAGTAACTATATATATATTCAAAACAAAACCTAAAAGTAAATAAATAGCTACCAAATAGCTGTACTCGTTAACTTATGATAATAAATAATAAAGCATGAATATTACACTTTATTACGTCACATAATGTTAGGAATTTTCTTAGCGAAAAATGTAACTTTAATTCTCAGTTCTATGTCCTGATTGTTAAGGTAGTTTATGTATTAACAAACAGCAATGAAAACATTGTTGTGATCGTTACACTATTTTTAACACAATTTACACCATCCATCATGTCGCGTACCGTGATAATTGTTCTCGAAAATTCCATGAAGCAATCTAGTTGTTTATTCATTTATTCTAAAGTCTTCGGTTTATCATAGTACTTTTTAATTTTTAGTGACCGGTCGAAAAGTGAGTTTGAATTTTAAAATCGAAAGTGACTGTTCGTGATTTTTTTTGTGTGTTGCCAGTGGCAGATTTTTCTACCATTTGGTTAATTGTTTTTTGCGTGTATACAGTTTATGGCAAAGACTCTAGAAGAATTAATAATACTAAAAAGAATATCGCTGAGGTATCTCTTCGCTAGAGAATCTCGTCTGATTGCATTAGGAAAGAAGCCGGTTAATAAAAAAATTTCCAATTATCTGAAAACTCATGAAGAAAGCACTGTTTGGTCGAGTTTTATGGACACGTGGAGTGAAGATCTAACAAAAAATTTGAACGTATACGATTGGAAACGGCAAGAACGGAGAATAGAAAATAAACCGCGGTCGTACAGATTGGATTCGACATCGAAAAGGATTTTTGTTGATTACGAAATGCCATTATGGTAAGACTCATCATTATACATAATGAGTTACCACTGGAATTGTAAATTCACAGTTACAGACAGATTTGTCCGTAATTTACAAATAACTCACCACAATCTTTGTTTGATTACTTTTAAAGTAAAAGTAAAATAAAACCTCAAAAGATGAATAATTACGATATTTTATAACTTTTTTTTAAATTAATGAATAAGGAATCGTGCAACGGCACTGCATTGCTAACGATATTGGAACATTGCTGGTTCCCAGTAAAGGATTTTAAGATGAAAATATCAAATCCATAATTTTCCACTAAAAGTAGTTAGGTTAGGTTCTTACTACTACTACCTGCGTATTATTATTATAGTTATATATTTGTATCAGTTGCACAAAGCACCATCTAGTTACATATAGCTTAAAACTAGATGGCGCTGTGTGAATTGTCCTGAGACATGATTATTACCTAAGTACTAAATCTTAATTATAAATAAAACCTATAAGACTTCAAGTAATGTTATTGTAAAAAGATACTATAGCTAGGTTAGCACAATTTCTCAAATTGAAGTTTTTGGGATTATTGCATTAATTATTATATTGATATTAGGTTTGATCTTAGGTGGCACACCTTGACTGTTGTAGGTGCTTTGCAGATATGTGATACATTTTAGGTTTTTGCATTTCGCACTACAAAACTTCATTAGCGAGTTTCAGGACAGTATCTAATTGTTTATCTACAGCGGCACCTATCGCCAAGTAGCGTAACTAATTCTAGTGACGTCAAATACAAATAAAATACCGCTAAATGTTGACGTAATAAATGTGTTAATTTTTTATATAAAATGTAATAATAATGTTATGATATTTTGTAGTTTTGTTTGTAATGCATAACCTCAAAATACTTGACGGATTTAAAAAAAAACATCTCTACCATTAGCTATTTACGAGACAAAACCTCTATTTACGATAATTACGCGGACACATATATTACATTCGCACACATATACTTTGTATAGAGAAGGCGTGCAGAATGCTAATATATTTTTTTAAATTATACATATCCATAAACCGATATATACTCTTTTGTTGGTAGTTATGGCTGTGGTGAAATTGAGACTAGATTAATATTATTTGTCTATAATCTTACTAAAAGTCAAATATAACCATAATAAATTCACGACTAACAATATATTTAAATTACTTATGATCGAATTATGTATAAATTTCTATAACATGATGTTCATATTACAACCTTTCTAGTTGATAACATTTTGATAAAATAATAATAGTTTAAAATATGTTAAATAAAGTTTATTATACTCAATTGTTTACATAAATTGTTTTATCAGGTAAAGCATAATCTTTACTAATGTTATACGACACCTAAATACGATATAAAGTACATTTACCATCAATAGATTCCGACTCTTTGTCGGTAAAATATGCATTACTAGCAAACCTACCGGTTTCGCGTGGTACAAATATTTGAAGTTCTTCTTTTATTAAAATTAAAATATCTTCTAAAGTGTTCGTTGAAAACAAACGATGTGAAGGACCATTTTGTTTAAAATTAAATACTTATTATAAATAACGTATTTATTTGGATTAGGATTAACATCATGTTTGTAAAAACACCTTCGCAAATAATACAATATTTTAGAAGAAATTTGATTACCATAAAAAAGATTATAGTGAGTTTTGACAGTTGAGTAAGAGTAATCTTAAAAGATAGAGATATGTTGTCGGAGACTCTTTTTTAGAACTTTTAAAGGAGAACAAATCGTCGTACATATTTTTTGGTAATAACTGAAGCGCATGCAGCGTAAGCACTCAAAATGAATATTTTTCATTACTGCTCCGCTCCTTTTGGTCGTTGCATAATGTTATATAGAATGTAATCGGGAATAATATACCTATCTAACAGAGAAATATTTTTTTAATCGGATCAGCAGAACAGGAGATTACTTCGACCAACATACAAACTTTATCTCTTTATAAATATCAGTATAGATGACGTAAATCGTAGGCATTTACTATTCCATCTAGTATTATTTCACCCACCCCCTCCCTCCCCTCTCTCTTTATAAGATGGGAGGGAATTTATCCTACGTAACTAGTGACCCTATTGCGTTTTATTGGAAGGGAACTTGCGACCATCGAAAGTAAAGCGGTGGCTAAACCGCTATACCACCGAGGTTATCATTAGATGTTTCATTTGTCTTTGGAAACTCAAATTATTTAAACAATTAAAAAACATCTATAAAACACATTATCAGCTAGTCCATTTTGGCTGTATTTTATTTAAGTTTAATTATTTATATTTATGCACAATTATTAGAAAGTCAGACACTTGACATATTTATATTCTGTGGAATGTCGCTATAGTTAATGCATGTAATTAACTGTTTGCTCTTGACATGTTGCTCGTATCGTTTTTTTTTACAATTTTTTATAATTTCTGTTTCACAGTAAACCGCTATATTATTCTTACTAATATTATAAATGCGAAAGTCACTCTGTCTTTCTGTCTGTCTGTCTGAATTTGGTACATAGCTCATACATACATACATACATACATAGTACATAGTCTAGACGATACTTTTTAATACGAAAAAAGGGTTGCACGGGGTTGAAAGGGGGAGAGGAATGTTGTATGGAAAATCGTGTTCTTTGAAGCGAGAACGATGAATTTTTTTTGCCTTTTTTGGGTTAGATTATTAAATATTTTTCTTTATATAGTCAATGTTAGTTTTTATAGGCACAGTTAGTTTTTAACATATTGTAATTTAACTGTAGCAGATAGTTTTGTAAACTGTCTTTCGTTTGAAGGGTTAATTACCACTATAAATTGGCGGCCTCTGTGGTCTAGCGCACACCGCTTTACTTCCGTTAGTCGCAGGTTCATTTTCTGATAGGGTGAAAACATTTTTATTCATGAGTATGATTGTTTGTAGTGGTATTTGTGTTTTCTATGTATATTATGTATGTATTAACAAAATAAAAATTAACTAAGTTTTTATATAAATTGTTTACTACCCGTAACGAAAACTCTACTTATCTTGAGATTAGATGTATTTACAAAAAAAGGATCTAAGTATTTCTATCAGTTGTCTAGTACCCATAACAAGCTTAAAATAGATGGCATTGTGCCTGCAAAAATCGAACCTGCGACCATCAGAAGTAAAGCGGTGTGCTAAACCAACACACCATCGAGCCCGCCGAATATTTTCCAAGTCACATTTGTAAGGATTTAAGAGAAATGTTACGCATGCTGACTGTACAGTAACTAGTGCCTTATCTTATCAGTGATATCACACACTATTGCATGCATTAAACCTGTATTTTTAGTGTAGAATACAATTTTAAACAAGTAAGAGTGTTCTTTGGAATTTATTTAAAAATGTAAGTTTTTATATATTTATTTTGGCTGACTTGCCAATCTTCTCGGTTCAAATTCAGAAATCATTTATTCCTGTAGGACATTTTAGCTGCTTATAAACGTTAAATTTTTTATATTATAATTTTTTCCCTAATTCATTATATAGATTCAATTGAGAAGGTTGTGCGCTATATATACCGTTTAGTGTATGCAAAAGACTATCAATATTGCTTTGATAATTAATAATTACCAATTTCTTAGTGTTTACGTAACCAGATATTTTTGACATTTGTGTTCTCATATTTTTTTCTCAGTGTTTTTTTAAGTGTGTTATAGCAAATAGTTAATATGATAAAATGTTACATATATTTATAGGATAAATATAAAATTAATTAAAATTGTACAATTAGTAATGGTTATATTATTTAATATATGAAGTTGTTGTGTCACAGCGTTCGTAAAAAACTCCTCCGAAACGACTTGACTGATTGTTATGTAATTTTGTGTGTCTATTCAGTACATTTAAGAATAGGTCGTAAACTATTTTTCATACCCCTAAGTGAGAAGGGTGGATAGACCACCCTATCCAATTTTTTTTTGTTGATTGAAGATAATCTTTACATTTTTTTTGAGATATAGCTTTAAAAAATACATCCGATCCTAAATTTTCACCCTTCAACCGTCAACCCCTGTTTTTAATAGCGATATTAGTACTGTAATAATTTTTCACTCTCGGCTATTGGTAATCTATTAATATATATGAAAAAACGACGTCTGCCGGGTCTGCCGTCTAGTATCTTATAAATTAAAATTACCAAGATTTCGTTGCTTTAGTTCATAGTTTAGCTTGTCTCACCTATTTCAGCCGCCATCAAGCTTGATTTGTAAGATATATTTGATTGAATGTGTAGATGTTCAGGGTGATATCAACTAGATTTTACAGGATATATATATCTGATAAACAAGCGACGTGACGTTAAAAATATTTTAATATCCTACTAATTTTATAAACGCGAAAATTTGTGAGTTCGGAGAATGAATATATTGGATTTTTGTTACTCAGTCACGCAAAAACTACTGAACGGATTTTAATGAAACTGAATACTTACAGTAATGTAGCTTATACATCAGAATAAGACCGGCTAAAAGAAATGATATTATATAAATTAGACGAAATAGCTTATACATCAGAATAAGACAGGCTAGAAGGGTGAAAATTTAGGGTTGTATGTATGTTTTATTGCCACATTGAAAAAAAAAATGATCGAAAAATTAAATGTTAAAGAAGAAACAACCTATAACTTAGGGGTCTGAAAAATAGATAGTAGCTTCAGACCTCAGACCTACTGAATATGCATATATAATTTCATAAAATCGGTCAAGCCGTTACGGAGGAGTGTGGTAACTAACATTGTGACACGAGAATTTTATAAATAAGAAGATTGTACATTAAAATATTATTTTAATTTTTTACACACCAGAATAGGCAGGGCATGTCTGGAATAATTATAGTTTTATCCAATATTGTGATACGAGAATTTTATATATATTATATAGATATATGTATGTTATTTATTTGCTTGCTCCCATATACCTATACTTGTTTGTCATTACAATAAAAAAATATATCTATTAAATAATTTCCTAGATATTTGATTAGTCAGTTGAATTAGTCAGTTTTGATAAACATACTCGGTCAATAACTAAAAACTAATAAGGTTTACGAGTAATAAGGACATATATCATTAGATAACGACTATTAATAATACAAATCATACACAAGGAAATAAAAATAATTGTCTCTGTCAGAGAGACTATGACATCCGGATGGATGAGTGGTTACAAAATTAACCGCAATCTTAATAATCCAAGATATAAATTCCTACTATATGTTTATCATATCAATTTATACGATGAGTGTGGGTTTCGTATGTAATTTATAATTACATCCGGTCTAACAAGCTGTAAGTGACTTTTACTCTGACTACCATATTGTATATTAAATCTTATATATTAATATAAACGCGAAAGTTTGTGAGTATGGATACAGGTTTGTTACAGTTTAACGCAAAAACTGCTGAACGGATTCTGATGAAACTTTACAGTAATATAGCTTATATACCGGTATAACATGTAGGATATAAATTTCACGCGGGTGAAATCACGGGCACAGCTAGTATATAGGCGCCGCTTACTCCGAGCGATGCTCCGTCCAATTCAAATAGTGATCGAAATTTCGACGGCCTGACCTGAGTTTCGAAACCCTAGCGGTGCCCTCAGATTAAAGTCGTAACCGTCAGGCGGGAGTTGGCTTTCAGCCGTCCCATAAGTCCTTCCGCAGGTTTGGAGTTCCATCTGCACTCGCCCCCTATCGTCCGGTGAAGCCGTAACAGCCAATTGTTGCAGCATTAGAGTAAGCCGAAAAAAAACTACCATCAGGTAGATCATAAGCTCTTGCTGTAGTAGTACATAAAAAATAGATGACTACATCCTTCCACGAATCAAATATTACTACACAAATAATGATTTTATTGGACACTGAAACTGGGATAAATGCAGCGGTATTGCAAAACATTTGCAACGCGTGTTATTTATGCACAATCCCATACTGGCGTCGCATTTCTCGATTACCTTCAGGAGACAAGCGTCTATGAAAAACAATGGAAATTCTTTTAACTGGGGTTCTAATTTCAATAAAGTAACGATTTCATACTATAACTAATTAAAAAGTCACGCGAGTGCGTGAGTTTGTTTGTTTGTTTATTATCACATGGCGCTTCAACGGCACAACTAATTTAATTTAGTACTATTTTTATTTACGACTACCTTGGTTGCGAATGACGTTCTATATCGGACAGTCAGTCAGGTCAGTCAATGATTCAATCAATTCACATGGATAATTATATACGTAAAATTAAGAAAATCACGGGATATTACCACGTTTTATTTATTTCTATTTGAGTTTCCGAATTTATTAATAGTATAATAATGTATTCCGATTTTTAAATTGTGTGGATAGTTATTTTCAGTGAATTCGTTTATTTCTGTATTATACTAACCAATATGGATATAAGTAATCTGAATAAAAATGGATATCAATAGAAATAATCTTTATTCAAATAAACTTAATATAAGCACTTTTGAATAGACATTTTTTTTTTATCTTAGCTATCCTCATTCTAACTTTACAAACATTAATTATCCCTTATCCTTGGATAAGGCACGCGATAATCAACATAGAAATCGCTGCGCGCTCAATTTTTATGCAATCAGATAATATTGTTATTCATTATTATATTTTAATTTATGATGTTTTTTTATCACCAGCTCCGGAAAAATGACGGAAGCGCCAATAGTAAGGGTGGAACATGGAGAGCTGCAAGGGCAGGTCGTGACCAGCCCGTCAGGGAAGTCATTCTACAGCTTCCAGGGTATACCTTACGCAAAACCGCCACTTGGATCACTTAGATTTAAGGTAAACATCTGATTAACACAACACTTAGAATTAATAATGGTTAATAATTAAAAATATACTCGTTCCTGTAGGTTCCATTACAACTATAAAATATGTTAAATAAGAATCATCATATTTTATCGAATTACGCGTTATTTTGCAGAAGGCCTAATAATTAATTAATTAATGGATTTGTATTTTATTTGATTCAGCTACCATTAGCGTGTGTGAGACCACAAATATTCAATGCGGAAACCTGACCACAGCTACTGGAAGCGTTATAATCTTCCTGAGATCATAATCAATTCAGTACTAGTGAATATCTCTCATATTATAAAACAAAGTTCCTCGCCAAATCTGTCTGTATGTTCATGATATTCTCAAAAACTTTGTTTTCATCTATCAGATTCATTGCTAACGAACGTTTAGCTGTACAATATTATGTTCAATTACTGGTATGAAGCCGAGCGGATTACTTGTGAAGTATAAGAAATCACATTTTAGTCTTTACTTCTTTTCTTTTTTACCTTTTTCTAACAAAATCAATACGATGTTAACGCAACGCTAAACTTTTCCGATTTTAGAACAAATGATTAAAATCTGTACATAGCATCACGTATGATTTCGCAACAACGATATTATTTCTGATAAAAATCTCATTTTTGCACTAACAAAACACACTTCTCTAGAATATCTATGACAATGTTGACTTATTGTACACTAAGTCTATATAAACTTTGCCTACCTAAATAGGAATGATTTCCTCATCTTATATATTGTATGGTTATATCGTTTTGAGTGATTTTTATACGACGGAGAATAGAAATAGAAATGATCTTTTTTCAAATAAACCATTAGGTTTATTAATAAGCATTTTTGAATAGTCATATAGTGTTTGTTTGATTCTACCGCTAATTCGGAAAACAGACTCATCATAAGAAACTTGCGTGTTACTCTTTGTTCTTTATTATATTTCATATACATACACATAAGACTAAACTGTCAAATAGCAACAAAAGTAAATAAATATAATAGCTATTACTAGAGTAACTAACTAAATACACATATTTATTACAGCAGAACAATCCTTATAATATATTTTTCTATTGCATATTATTGTTACGCAGGAATTAACACAATGTGATTTTATTACAATAATCACATTATCATACAATCACATACACATAAAATTGTATGTCAATATTGCCAATTGTCGACTGTATGATATAGATGCAGTAGTTGCATCCATGGGGTTCCAATAAGAATCTGGAATCTCCCAGTCACAAGAGATTGCGTAAAAACTTCCAACCTCTATCCTCAGAAAAACATAAGATTTATTTCGTTCCTTCTGGAAGTCTATACGAGATTTCTCTTTTTCAGTATTTGGTCTGTGAATGTCTGAAATCATTGTTATGAATAACAAAGAACAAATACAAGAGCATAATAAGTCTTTCATACTTATATAGATAAATTCTTTATTCACAATTACAGACACATAACATACATGAGATTCAGAAAAACACGAATTAATAAAAGAAATGTAGGTGACTTTATGTGCCGCAAAAGTGAAAAGGCAGCCAACTCAGCATAATGCTACAGATAACTGCAGCGCTGATATTCTGTTGGCTCCTTACTTATACTATACTTATTACTAAGTAAATGACATAAATACTTGTGTTCATCATTATTGCGTTGACTTTATCCATTCATTATTTGGGATCGATCGTATGTCATTCTCTTCTACTGATGCCTATCAGCCGTCAAGCAAACTCTTCTTCTTATATTCATTTTGCAATAATAATAAAAACTGTTTACGCACCGTACTTAAGACTACCGGATGAAGTTGAAACAATTGTAACAACGTCAATTTCCTGTACCTACATAGTTATAAAATATTTAGCACGATAAGTTCTTAAAACATCAAATTTCACGCTGCAGTCTTTGATTTCATCATACAGGCGTCTTACATAAACCCATCTCCTGAGATATTCATAACGTTATCGGTATTTGTCAAGATTACAGTTATCAGTGCGTCACGACTCTAGTCTTATTTAGACTTCAACAATATTGGTTTTTCTGTGTTATTTTTACAGTGAGATAGGCTTGGTATATTCATGCAGTTACATTATGTATTGCGTTTAATAATCTTTTAATAATCTCACAATCGTTTTATGTTATGGTCATGATAGTAAGCTTAGTAGTTTATTTATATTAACTATTATTCTAAGTTGCAGATAAAGTAGACAAAATCTAGATTTGAAATTAAATAAGTAATATAGATTATTCATCAAGAGTCCCCGATTAATAGTATTTCTCTTATATATATATATTCAATACATTTCGGAGTTAAAATTTCCTTTCTAGAGAATATTTATAAATATAAATATATTTTCTATAAGGAAAATTCATGTGGTAAATGTAAATAATACCTGGAACTAATATAACATTATGGAATGCATTAAAATATTGACTAATATATTAAGAATATTCAAATTATTAAATCGTATATTTACCTAAATCAAACTGGAAATACCTAATGATATTGAAGATAACAATTTAGTTATCCACCGTGTTCTAGTTATTATACGGCGTATATATATGTTACCAAGGGTATAAACGTGTATTATATGTTTTTTTACAATTTTTTATTAGACCACTGAATATTCTAGAAGAAATCTAGAATATTCAGAGGTCTAATAAAAAATTGTGTATTAAATTGAAAAGAAATGCAAATTCAATGCTAAAATATAGATGATCAAGAAATTTGCATAATTAATTATCTTTTCGACTCTTTCTTTGCAAAGTTATATTAAGCAGTTTTAGACATTAACATTTGCCATGTGGAGTTAATTTTGTAAGTTATTAGTGCTATGTCAACTGTATTTTACAATTTATTAATTGATATAATGCTTAATTTTCAGGACCCACAACCGTTGGAGCCGTGGGAGGGTGTTCGTGATGCCACAACAGAAGGCAATGTCAGTGCACAAGTAGATCCTGTTACAAAAGAGTATGTTGGTGATGAGAATTGCCTTTTCCTAAACGTTTATACTACCAACTTAGACGGCGCGTTCCTCCCAGTAATGCTGTACATACATGGAGGCGGTTTTAAATTCGGCTCAGGAAACTCAAACTTATATGGAGGTGATTATCTAGTCGAGAAAGATGTTGTAGTTGTTACTATAAACTACAGATGCGGCCCATTCGGCTTCTTATGCCTTAACACTCCTGAAGTACCCGGAAACGCCGGTCTTAAAGATATGGTGCATGCTATTCGATGGGTTAAGGAAAATATCCAAAATTTCGGAGGAAATCCAGGTAACTTGACACTATTTGGAGAAAGTTCTGGTGGTGTAGCTACTTCATTATTAACTGCTAGTCCTTTAACTAAAAATTTGATTAGTAAAGCAATCATTCAATCGGGAACAGCACTCAACAGCTGGGGTTATCAAAAGAATCCAATAGAAAACGCTAAGAACTTAGCGCAAATCCTGGGTTCCGATGCAGAAAATGTTGACGAACTATTAGACTTTTTAACAGCTTGCTCAGTAAAAGACATTGCGGAGGCTGGTGAAAAATTATCTCCACTAGAATTGTTTTACAAGAAAGGAATTAACGTTTTCAGTGCTGTTATAGAAAAAGAGTTCCCTAATACCGAAGCAGTTTTAACAGAAGCCTTTATTGATATTTTAACATCTGGCAGAGTAGCTGAAATTCCTATAATGATTGGTAGTACAGCTCTGGAGTTTACTTTTGATAATGCAAATGATGATTTACAAATATTTATACCTGAAGACTTAAATATTGAAAAAAATACAGAGGAAGCAGTGAAAATTGCGGATGAACTTAAACAATTGTACTTCAAAGACAAGGATATTGGAGTGGAAAGTTTGAAAGAATATTTCGAATTATTATCGGATAAACTAGTCAACGTAGACACACATAGATATGTACAGTACTTAGTAAACGCTACAAATAAACCAATTTACTATTACAAGTTTGATTATGTAGGAGAATTGAATATTACCAAAAATATAACATCAACATTAGGTTTAAATCATGCCAGACATATGGATGAACTGGGATACTTATTTAAAAATGACCTCCAGAATGAAGCAGTGCCAACTCCTGAAGATGAGAAGATGAGAGAAAGGATGTTGAGCTTATGGACAAACTTCGCAAAATCTGGGTAAGTCTGAATTAAATAATAATATAAATTATAATATAAAATAGATTAAGCGAGCTGAAGCCCACCTGATGATCAAGTATTATTATTAAATAAAATTTATTAATCAAATAGTATAATAGAAAAATAAACAAAAACTAATATTTTTGCAACCTTAGTCAACAAATAAATTTAGTAAATATACACTAAATACATTAGTCAATAACAGAATGTGTTGTAGTTATTAACACCTTCTCTATGAGGTTACGAAATATAACGTAAGTAGGTACTAATATGTAATATGAAATTATTAAGATCCCATAAAATATTAGCTTTTACATGCGAATTTTGTCGTGTAACCAGAATATATAAATTAATTACGATAAAAAACCTATATTATTTTCTATATCCCACGAATGGGTCGTGGGATAGACTAAGATTGAATAAAATTGGCTAAGCCTTAATTTTCACATTTATAATGTTAGTACCAATATGATGGATATATAAATGCTTTATTAAATATGAATGTAAAACGTATTTCAGGAACCCAACGCCTGAGGAGAACCATTTGTTATCTGTAACCTGGCTACCAGTAACTAAAGATAACCTGTATTATCTCAACTTAGGTACAGAATTGTCTCTTGATACAAACCTTAATAAAGATAAAATGGACTTTTGGGATGACCTTTACAGTAAATATTATCGTATATGGGATCACCCGAAAACAAACACGGAAGAAGTAGAACGGACAGAGAGAAATCTAATTGAGGCTCCAGCTGCGATCTCCGAGGCAGTTACCGATGTAGCAGAGGACCAAGCATCCGACCCTGAAGTACCCCCTCAAGTAAATGTAGATGAGGGGCCTAGAGAAATAAATATAGTTGACCAAAATGCTACTGAGCTTATTCAAGAAACAATTGTAGAAACAGCTGCAATTCCTGAACAAGAAATATTAACTAATGCACCTGATGTAGAAGAGAATCAAGTTCAAATCAATGGAAACGTTCAAAGTAATGGTTACGCGAGGAATCCTAGACCATCAAATGAAATTAAAATGGTCCAACAACCTAACGGAGTACCCAAAGATGTTATTAGAGCTAACGACCCGCCAGAGGATGACCTACCTAAAAATATAGGTGTCAATAAATTCGTAAACTTTTTCGAAGCTTTGGGCGGGAAAAAGTGAATCGGCCATTTTCTTTTTAGGAATATGAATTTTATTTTATTTATTTTAGGTATAATTTGGAACATTCCATTGAAATCATATTCTATTTTAATGAATTAAATAATAGTTTTATTTGTAATGAATTGTAAAATATTAGCAATGTAGAAATTTTAGTCGGCAGTGCCTTACAATTGAGGGAGTTCATGTGCAATACGTGAACTAAATCTATATTGAGATAAAGTACCATAAATATTTTATTTTTATTTTCAATATAATGTTAAATGATATATTAAACAACAATCATAATTGTAACTAAATACAATATGCAAATAATTTGAACAAAATTCTATTACCACGTGATACCTGTGTCGTTAAAAAATTACACACAAACTCAGACGAATAAATAATTTTTAGGCTTCTGTTCATATTATTTACGGCATTAAATGTATATTAAAAAAATCAAGATGAATATTTATTTTTTATTCGCTACTTCTACAAGGTAGAGTAGCAAACTAAGCAATGTCTTTGAGTCTACCTGTATAAAAATTAACACATACCAATTAAAGATTATTATTATAATGTATGTATATGTTATGATGGTTATAACACACGAGGCGGAATTTCAACCGGAGCCAAAGGCGAGGGCGTAATAGAGCCGAGTGTGTTAAATATGCCTATATTGTACGACGTTTTTCAACACACTTGCGAGGAAACTAAAAAATCGTGATATTATATTTTGTTCATTTTAGCAATTTCCTGCCTTTTTTACTTTTTTTTAATCTAAGCGCTTGCTAGCGCCGCTCAGCGGCCAGTTTGAAATTTGAAAAATAGCAAATAGTGCTGTTATGGAATATAACTTCACCATTTGCGTTTATAGTGCATGCGTCTTTTATGGGCTGCGTTATATATAAAAAACCGGAGAAATTAGATGCACTTTACGAGTGTGTTGAATAATAAATAATTATACTGTTACGGATGTCAGTACTTAAGGCGACATTAACTACTAGGTGTGACGGCAAATTCATGCGTGTATGCACTTATAGATACTGACAATAAATGTAACATCTGTATAAAGAATTCTATTACATATTTCAATAAAATAGATAACCTGTAGAAAAATAAACAAAAAAAATTTGGGGCGTATTTTTCTGAACTTTCTTTAATGTATATGTTGACCCATATTTAACAATATTCTGTAGAAAATGTAATATCTTATCTCTGGTAAAAAATTTTATTTTTTAATCTGTCAGTCTAGCTACGACAAGAGGGCGGGGGGTAAAATTACTGAAACAACTAGCATGATGTTAGTTATGAATGGCTCATTACAATCTCCTTGTATTCTGCAATATCGGTAAAAATATGTAATAAATATGTTTTATTTTAAGGTTTTTAATTGTATAATGAAACAATACAAAACTTTGTTAATAAAAACCGTAACAATTTAATCTTTGTGATATAGCTGTTTAGATGCTTTGTCCTTTACTTGATATTGCAACTGTTTTGTCTTAAAAGTAAAGTTACAATAATTTAAACTGTCTGTAGTTTATTTTTGAGGTTAAAAAATATATATATAGTTGTATAAAATAACTTTTTTGACATATATAATATTTTTCAATACTTTTCGTTTATTATTGTATATACTTTTAATTATATTATCTGTAGTTCTTATTTTCTGAGAAATAAAGTCTCTTTAACTTTACCAGCATTTTAATTATGAACGCACTGCGCATTTTCTTAGGATTTTACAAATTTTGATTTTATAAGATATACAATTTTTTTTTGATAGGTAATTTTTGTTAACTGTTATAGGCCTGTTATTAAACGTTTAGATATAGCAAATCGAGAGTGGTATGTAGTTTATATTGTTATAAATGTCACAAAATTGCGTCGATCAACATGTATATGTCACTAGCTGACCCGCGCAAGTTCACCTGTATCACACTTACTTGACATTTATCAATATATTTCGCTCAATTTACATATCTTTTTAATTTATACCCCATGTGTTATTTTGATGTATAAGCTGTATGAGGTACTGTAAAGTTTCTTCAAAGTCTGTTTAGTAGTTTTTGCGTGAAAGAGTAACAAACATCCATCCGTACTTACAAACTTTCGCGTTTAATATAGCAAGATATAATTATATATCATGATATTAGAATAAGAATACTATTATAAATTTTGGATCAAAAATATCAGTTAATTAAAATACGAAAAACGATTTTCTAGTTACTTTCGTTATTGTTATTCTGTTTTAAAAACTCATATAAATAATAGACTGAAACGAAAGTGCATTTCTATCGAAAATACTGTGTGATTAAATGTGGTGTTGGACAAGGATAGAAAGATAAAATAAGGAATGAGGAATGCTTGAAAGGGTTATAGAAAAGTGAATGTTGCGAACTATTTTTATACCTTTTTTATTATATATGTTTTATCTTATATATAAAATTCTCGTGTCACAGTTTTCGTTCCCATACTCCTCCGAAACGGCTTGACCGATTCTCATGAAATTTTGTGAGTGTATTGAGTAGGTCTGAGAATCGGCCAACATCTATTTTACATCCCCCTAAATGTTAGGGATAGTCCACCCCAAAATATTTTTTTTTATTTTAAGGCAAAACAACGTTTGCCGGGACAGCTAGTAATATTATATTGTTTTTATATTACATAAATCATTATTACACAATATTCTACCACTATACCGGTGCTGTTTTCTTTTGCTCGTCGTCTTAGTCGCCATTCTTCATATTTTGGTCCTTCGAGCCGGATCATATATATTATTGAGAATAGGCGGGAAAAATTGTTGGTGCACTTGATACGACACGACGAACTAATTAATAATGTTATCGAAGGAAAAATAAATGAAAAGAGAAGTAAAGGACAATGTTCGAGCCGTGTCGTATCAACAGCTATAAGATTGATAGAAGATTGTGGAATGTGGCGGAACCTCCACCGACAAAAGCACAGCTTTTAAATTATGAATATATATATATTTACTCTGTTGTGTTTAATTTCTAATTGGATGATGATATTAACCGCGATTTGATACAGCAATAGAACATTATCATCACATAGTATAAAACAAAGTCGCTCTCGCTGTCTGTCCGTCCCTATGTATGCTTAAATCTTTAAAACTACGCAACGGATTTTGAAGCAGTTTTTTTTAATAGATAGAATGATTCAAGAGGAATGTTTATATAAGTAATAAATGTACACCCGTGCGAATCCGAGGCGAGTAGTTAGTATATTATATAGACACGAGATCACATGCTGTGTACATATAGATCCGGGTTTCTCATATACTTGTCGCAAAAACTTGTTTTGACTTGGGGTTAGAGATCACGGATTGACTTAAAAATTGCAATCTGAAAAAACTGTACACGGTACATAGAATATTTTAGTTAAATCAGTTGTACTATGTACCTAATAACGCGAACTGTTGATCCCATCGCTAGCAATGTCAGGTTGACCTACACGCGGTTGCCCTTGGAACCCATCGTGATAAATTCATTGGTGAATTTGTCACGATGGGCTAGCTGACCTGACCTCATGTTCACCTTATCATCCTGCACTGAAGTCCCTCCAGCGTAAACCGTTAGCGCAGGCGGGTGCACCATTCCATTATAATCCATAAAAAAATGTTTATCCCCCATAAGAGGAAGGGACGTGTAAGTAATGTGAACTGTTGATCCCATTGCTATCATGTCAGGTTGACCTCCACGCAGTTCCCCCTGGAAATTGTAAAAAATTCCTAATTAATTTTAACACGATGAGCTAACTGACCTGACTCCATCCTGCACGCCATATCTTTTTTTTTTATAGAATAGAATAGACTAGAAAATCATTTATTCAAATAAAATTACATTGAAGCACTTTTGAATAGTCATTACATTTTTTTAATCTACCGCTCATTCGGAAAGCTGTCTCATCACATGAAGAACGAACAAGAAACTTGCGTGTTGCTCTTTTAAATAATTTTATTATTACTTTACATTTTTAAGTTTAAGTGTGTGAATACAAACCACCTTCTTCTTCTTCGTTTCAACGGCAACCAAATACATATATTTAAATATATTTTCCCCAGAACGCCGCGACAACCCTTGCGCACTCCGTCGCATCCCTTAGGTCCCCCTTGTGCAGACTGCTGGGCACAAAGGACAAGCCAGCAGGTGTGCCATGGTCTGGGATGGCGCTCCGCATTCCTTGAAGCGGCACCCCACTTTACCAAGTTGTACCTGCAGCGGCCCATCTGGGTTCGTAGTCTGTTGAGCGATTTCCAAATGGGCCATTGCAGGTCGCTACCTGGGGGCAGGTGTTCGATTGGTTGAATAAAGTCCAAAGGAGCAGGATGATTCAACTTCCATAAGTTTACTTTGGCTTTATGTGGGTCGTTGGTCAAGGCACTTGTCCCTCTTAAAAAACTCTTCCTGCTTTTTAAGCGGACATCGGGAATAGTGTGGTTATGAAGTGGGTGGCGGGAATCGGTTTCTTGTCTCCTTTTTTCCATCTCGCACAACACCTGTCGTCGAACATCTGGTGGAGCACAATACAAACAATACAAACCACCAATTAGCACTATTTAAAAATTCAGGACAGTACTATAAATAATAATCCAGCCCGGAAGACTTTTTTGTAAATACATAATATACATAGAAAACACCCAAACCGATACAAACAATCATACTCATGACTACAAATATTTGCACCTTGCGAGGAATCGAACCCGTGACCAAAAGCTAAAGCGCTAGACCACCGAGGTTGTCAAATTATTATTAATAAACATAAATACGGTCCTTACTAACATGAACTCTTATTATTGTTGCCATCTACTTTTCATCATTTTTCCACATTTCACGTCTTTTTTCATGAAGTTGTCAAACACCAATTTTAATTGGTTTAATAATATAATTACTACTACTTATGGATCTTAGGATCAAAGAGTTGTTGTTCTTACCCTTATGTAAAGCTATTCTGAAAAGAAAACCGCAATAAAGCAACCAAATTGCATGTGTATCCAGTAACCCTAAGGAATATGACTGAATACTTACTTTACTCTTTGGAATACTAATCTACTCACTAACACAGTTTTGGAATATTTACAAATAGCAAAGGGACAGGCGCCCGCGGCTGCCCCTGATTCTTCATAAAGTATTGGCCTTTTTTGTAGCAATTGTCACACACTATATTAACGAGCAAGTAAATAGATTTCACTAAAATAATAAATTACAAAAGACAGTTGTTCTCAACCTATGTCAGATGAAGTGGCAGTGGGCCGGGCATCAGCCAAGCGATGGTAGATGGGGCAGAAAAGTTATGGACTGGCGGCCGCGTACGGGTCGACAGTGTCGGGCACACCCTCCTGCAAAATGGATCGACGACAGCAAGAAGGTGGCTAGGATTGGATGGTTACGGAAGGCGGAAGATCGCATTGGGGAAGGCCTATATTCAACAGTAAATATTTACAGACTGAGTTGTCAGTGATTTATATATAGTATATTCGAAAATATATAATAATTTAACTATATTAACTTATTGTATATATGTTAATGTATTTATATATCCATTATTTTACAAGTTTTAAGGTGTGTATTATATTTCAAATAAGCGATAATATTTCTCTCATCTACTGGTTCTATAATAATCATCTTGATTTGTATCAAAAAATAAACTATTACAATTGATGCTTATAATAAAATTTAGAAGTAATAATCGAGACTAATCGGTTTATTACTCAGGGCAGCAGTGAGTCCATCCTCTCTGCTATTCTGTTATAGCCTTTGTTATTAAATTAATACAACAAAAGATCGACGACGACAGCACTTAAGTTTCTTTGCGACAAATACTTGTACACAATGATATTAGCAGATTAAACAAAATATTTTGTTTCATTATCTTTTTATCTAATAGATATGAAGGTATTGAAATATTACAATTGTCAAATCTTATCTATATATAATGTCAACGTATTAATAATTCATTAATAAGTATTCATTATCTATACATATATACATATAAATAAAATTAAAGAGTCTGTTTGTAATATTGAATTAACCGGTTTTTACAACATGCATATGAATATAAATACGGAACATACACCAAAAAACCACTTTTTAAAATTTTTGCCTGTCTGTCTGTCGGACTGTTTGTTCCGGCTAATCTCTGAATTTATTTTAGAAAAATAAAGTTAAATTCCACGCGGACGAAGTCGCGGTTGTAGCTAGTCGTTTATATAATTAAATAGTCATAATGACTGTTTATTTTTATGTAGGCAAGTACGTAATTGTAGTTATAAATGCATAATAAAACTAATTATCGTAATCAATATGATAATTAGCTTTATTATGCAACATTTCTTCTGAAAGACTCTCAATTGGATTATTGTAGAAATAGTCTTTATTTATATAAACTTGACCTTAAGGTCATTTGAATAGTCATTTTATTAGTCGACCATGCGGTATTTTTGCTTGTAGGATACGTTATACTATAGTCATAGATAAGATAATATTGTATACCATAGCTAATGAATAAGAAACTAATACGTATCTTCTTTAATGGATGATAATGGAATGGGGGTGCAATTCCAAGCCTTTTTTTACGAGGGGAAAGGTTCCAGTACCGAAACATCCGGCTTTATGAAGGGGTGCATACGACTACTGTGGGACGCGACCCACCAAATCCCCTCGATGTTCCTCCGAAAACCAAAAAGACGCCTTCGTGCGGTTTGCATTCGACCTCACTCTGGCCGCGGGCCTCCAGTGAAGGAGCCGCCGAAGTTGGGCGCGGGGACCACTCCACGCCCACACTCCACGGATCACTCGCCTCCTGGGTACTTCGGATGCCCCTACATCCTCCGCTCTGAGTGTCCACCATTCCAATCCTGCGCTAACAGTATACCCACCTGGCGGGGGACTAATGGAGGATGATAAAACAAGCACGAAGTTAGTAATATTCAAACAAAATTTAGTACTTATCTATGATAAGTAATAATTATATTGCATTATTAAAAAAATGCATTTTGGTTTTAACGATTATTTAAATAAATATATTCTACAAAAAATTGCGGTTAGTTTTACTTATTGAAATAACAATTGATGGAATGCATACATTCTAAGGTTAGTTGAATGTTTGACCTGTATTTGATAAAGAGGCAAATTCTATATTTACAAAGAAATGTAATCAATTTTATAGGTACCTATATTGTACGATAATAAATGTATTGCCTACTATTTGTCACAATTAGGGATGCCAAATATAATATCGTTTGAAATCCAAATCACCTGATATCCATCAAATTATATCAGTTCATTGTGACAAGAAAAATTTTTCACATGTTAGTCCAACTAAAAGCTGTATGTGTTTCTTTTATAAACTATTCTGGGTGTCTCAAAACAGCTTTAAAGGAATAGTAATATAATAAGTTAATGTAACTTGAAGAAAAAAATAACTTAATGGAGTACCTACACGGAAAACTGTTTTTAAAACTTATGTTCATTTTACAACACAATAGTAGGTGTTTTTTTTTTCGCGACAATTTCGACGTATTTCTGGAGTCTTCTTCAGGGGTAGGTATTTGTTACAACGTCTCGTATTGTGCATGTATAGATGTGGGGATGGTCATCGTTATCTTCGCCCAACCATAAAGAGGACAGGACAGAACCTTCTAGCATACCAAAGTGGTGGAAACAAATATACTGATATCTTTTTTATTATATATGTTTTATCTTATATATAAAATTCTCGTGTCACAGTTTTCGTTCCCATACTCCTCCGAAACGGCTTGACCGATTCTCATGAAATTTTGTGAGCGTATTGAGTAGGCCTGAGAATCGGCCAACATCTATTTTTCATCCCCCTAAATGTTAGGGGTAGTCCATATATATGGCAAACAACGTTTGCCGGGACAGCTAGTAGGTATATATACAGCGCACATAGCCCAAATAATAAACCAATGCTTTCTACCGTATATCCAATGTAGGTCAGGTATTACTTTCATATGTATGCCATGGCAAAAGAACGAAAGAGATGGGTAGTAGAAGGAATAAGGAAAAGGATAGGAGGGAAAAGAACGTGCGTCCGGAACTCCAATAACAATCTGAAACTTGTTCAATATTCGCCAGAGCAGTAAGAAAATAATTATATAATATAAAATAACATGTATTATTTTATTTCAAATAACGTTTATAACCAACATAAAAAATATAATTAATTAACAATAACAATAAAAATATATTTTTAAATAATTAGATATATTTTCTTCATTGTGAAATTCTATGTTTTAATTTGATATGTCCGTTGCTCATACCTACCCGTTTCCATTTTATAGTGATGTTGCACTTAATTTGTATAGTTCTAAAGTTTTCCCATTAAAATAATTTCAATGTGACCTAGTTTTGTGCCTTGTGGAACACCGACACCCAGCTGTTAATTATACATGAATGTTCCATAACACAGCTGATTTATTTTTATAATTTTGATCTATCCCCACAGAGATCTGTCCAGAACTTATATCTACTGTGCATTGGAAGTGTGATCATTTTTTTCTTGTCATCTATTTCTAAACAGGCCCGTGTTTCGCCTCTGTACGGTTCCCACACCACTTCCTGGTTCGTCCAAGTAGGTGTTCTGTAACAATGATATATAAAAACACATTTTAACGATAATCCATGAAATGTACTGACGACCTTCAAACTTGACTGTGTATCTAGGCAAAATACATATCTGTCAAGTAATCATCAAATAAATAAATAAAAATTTTGATCACAAAGATCTTATGGGTTTTTTTTTTCATGGATGGTAATGGAATAGTGCACCACTGTGCTAACGGTTTACGCTGGCGGGGCACCAGTGGAGGACGATAAGATGAGAATGACGTCAGGTCAGTTTGGCCATCATGTAAGATCTTATGGTTATCTTCACCCGAATTATGGAAGTATACTACATTTTAACTTGATCGGAAGTTGAAGGATATTTCCTATATTTGATTCTTTTTCTATTAATAAGTTCATTAATAGAAAAAGAATCGGACGAGTAAACAAATTATATATATACACATAAAAGCTTTTCAAATTAACGTTTATAATTGTATTAATAAATAGTAGCCTTGAGAAGTTGCCATATCATTCGGAAAGAAAATAATTGTCGTGTCAACGATTGAATTGATTACTGCATTATCAAACATATATATTTATATGCCAGTTATTTAGTACCTAGAATTAGTACGTAAAGCAATTTTTTTTGTAAGATCTCATTAATAAATAGAATTATATTATTTAGCGGCATTGGTTGTCTAGCGGTTTAGCACACCGAGTTACATCCGATGGTAGCGGGTTCGATTCCTCAGTCGATGCAAACATTTGTATTGATGAGTATGATAATTTGTATTGTTCTATTGCACATAGTACATATATATTATGTAATTAATTTTAAAAAATGTATTTGTGTATTTTTAACAGTTGTCTTGTACCCATAACACAAGTACTGCTTAGCTTGGGACTATATGGCGTATGAGTATACTTTGTGAATTGTCCAGGGTTATTATATTACCAAACGTTACTTCAGCTCTCCACCTACATCATATTTTTCAGATGTTTTTAATAAGAATAGAAAAAAAATCTAACCCATTCTTAGCGAAGTTGCACCATGCCTCACTCAAGAATTGTATGAGTTGTCTATCACGTTCCGTGCATTGGTCAAATTTATTCTTTTTATAAAATTCGTATTGCACAATATCACCATGCGTTGTTCCTTTAATTCCTAACCCCTTTAAAGCTTTCACATTTATACTTCCAACAAATGAAAATATGTAGAAAAATACATTATCTTGATTATTTCGCATTAATTCCGGTATCAGTATAATGTCTCTATTAAAATATACATCTGATAAGAACACAACAAATTTTTCTAATAAATTTTCATTTACTTGTTGTCCTTTGAAATAGAAGTCACGCATTCTCTTTATAACTTCTAATGACTTTGGACTATCATATTTCAAATTTAAATATTTCGGCACGAAATGTTTGAAATCATTTTCATATATAATATTTCCTTCTGCATCTCGTCTTATAAACAGTCCAGCTTCGAATACACTTATTCCAATAATCATTGGCACTTTTTTGTGACGATTTTTTCTTATAGTTTCAATAGGATATTCATCGAAGAAACTTTCAGGCCCAACATCTTTTTCTATCACAGGTATTAAAAAGGGCTCGATAACATAAAGAGATTTACTGAATTCCGCCGTAAAGTACCCATTTATTAAATCTTCTACAGGCATATCAATAAAGAAATTGAGCAATTCTTTTTTGTCTTGAATATTTTTACCTAACAGTGAAGCTAAGTGTGATGCTTTTTCTACAGGATTCTCATCTTTTATAAGCAAATCAGACACAAGACTTCCCGACTGACCAATTATTTTACTGAAAAGGCCATCGGTCATTTTGCTAACTAAATATGAAGTTACTATAGCGGATCCTGCGCTTTCACCAAATACTGTTACATTATTTGCATTACCATTGAAATTAGCTATATTCTGATTTACCCATCGTAAAGCTTTAGCTGTATCTTTAAAAGCCATATTTCCAGTAGCTTCAGGTAGATGTAGAGACAGGAAACCTAGAACGTGTAGTCTATAGTTTACTGTTACAAAAATAACGTCATGCTGTATGTAATGATCCGGTCGATACCAATCCCCATATCCTACCAGGAAGCTCCCACCGTGTACGTAGAACAAAACTGGTAATTTTTCTAGTTTTTCAGCTGGTAAACTGGGCGTGTAAACATTCAGGTATAAACAGTCTTCCGAACCAATAATTTGTCCATCTCTGAGATTTAACTGTGCACATTTGTTTCCTGGTTTTGTTGCGTCTCGTACCCCTGACCAGCCCTCTGGATCTTGGGGGTTCTGTAACGATGTTTTTATTATTACGTATATGTAAATCAAATTAGTGTGAAATTGTGATTGTTCTTTACCGGTCCGTAATAAATATACTAACTTGAAATCTGAGTTTGCCAATCGGTGGTTTCGCATAAGGTATACCTTCAAAACTATAATATTCCTTCCCGTTGTACGTCGTGCATTTCTTCCCTTGTAAGACACCCTGCGCCACTCTTACTTGACATGTCATTGTAACTGAAACAAATATATTTAATAAAACATTTACCATTGGATTTGTAATTTAATAATTTTAATTATTGGTCTACCATGCTATCTTCAGCTGTTCTTATCACACGTGTTTTTGTTGATGATAACGAGATAGCGAGCAGTAAATAAAAATGACTGTACTAGATAAAAATTTAAAATCTATCAATAGTTCAATTAAGTTTTCTTTTCGTCTGTCTGTCACGCATGACCATATATATACTTACAATCACAGATAACATAATATTACATACTTACAATACATTCATACATGTATTTTAAATAGGACCTTTGTAAAATATTGTATATCTCTCAAATTCTATTGAGTAGTATAGACTAATGCAATGCCAAGGTGGTTGTTAATACAATTGTGGCTGGCAGCTTGTACACCATTCTTTTTACAAATATTTCTATTATTTTGAGAACTTTTTTTTTTACTTATGGTTCTCTTGACTTCTTTTTGTGCTCTTTTGGTACACATACATGCCGATACAAATATCACTGTTTTTTTTAATTAGTCATCAAAACAATTGTATTTTTGGTGTACCTAATAATGTTTACCTAATGAAAAGCAAAAGTGTTGTGTGTCCAACGATAAGATATAAATATGAAAATAATTAAGAAACTCGTATCAAACATTTTTGCATTGTCTAATCTTACGTAACTACCTACCTTCTATAATACATGTGAGAAGAGATATACGACAACTGATAGCGTATCGAATCGACCCCAGCGTACACAAATATTATTATGAGTTGGCTCATAAATATATGTACCGTATATGTATGTATGTATGTATATGTATGTATAGCAAAATCTTTCAAAGGAACAACCCGCTAATGGATTTGGGTGGGGAACATGAGAATCTTTACCCGCTAAAAAATTACGCTCTCTTGAAACTCCAAAGCTGAGCTAGCATTCTACAACAACCTCGAATCTATTGATTCCCAATTTTTATATGTGGTAAACAAACTGTTCACATGATGGTAAGTGGTTTTCGACGTCTATGTCAATAAAATCTTTATTAATGCAGGTCTATTACAGACTGTTATGATATGTCAAATCTACCATCAGTTCGGAGTGCTTTCAAGCTAAGAATAACTGATTTTTCAAATGATATTGCAAATTTTGTCAAAAGGAAATGGTCTATTCACTGTCCGTAACCCGAACACACAAGTCCCCACAAGCAGCACCTCGTTCACGAGTATGACGGATGATATACAGATGTACGATAGGGTGACTTCATGTTATCATATGACGCACATGAGACCACGCATGTGTTGGCATTCCGGTGTATGATAAGATAAGATGAGATTGATAAGTTATGCCTTCTGTAATTTCACTGCCTACCCTTTAAAGCAAGCTGCTTGGCTGTTGAAATAAGTGTGACCGTCGATCTCTGTATTTAACAGATACAACGACATATATTCAGTTATATACCTGTTTCGAGTTGTAATTAATCTATATTCAAATAAAATTAACACGTTAATCGCCATGTCAGTCATGTGTCTGACGCTAAGAAGTTCTACATGAGCCATGTCAGACATGTGTCTGACGTACGCGATTTGATAGAAGGCAACGACAATCACAGGTGTCCGAAGCAAACGATATTTGCATTATGTTATGTATGTACGAAAGCTTGGCCTGTCATGAACAAAACCTGAAAATTTCTAGGGTTACTACAAACAATAAAATTAAATAAATTTTAATATAGGGCCATGTCAGTCATAGTTTGTTTGTTTTGTTTGACATAGAAAATAGTGTTTTTCCAGGAATTTTAGAAAAAATATTTTTGTTTGATACTTTAAGTTTCCTTGGGGGCCATTCATTAATTACGTAAGACTATTTTCGCTAGTTTTTGACCCCTGTTAAATATTTATTACGTAAGTATAGGAAAGGAAGGAAAAAACAATTATTCTATTAACAATTTTCAGAAATGTTTATTTGTATTTACAAAGGTGCTAATCATTTTTAATTTTTGGTAAAAATAAAAATAATAAACTGATCAGTAAAATTGTAAGGAACAGTCTTGAATGGGTACTTGGCACTCGCGCGGTTGCCTGCGCTTTTTAAAAGTATAATTTTAACATTGCGCATTTGAGATCTTACGTAAGAACTATCAAAACTCCGTCCCACCCCTTTGTAAGAAAAAATAAGACATGGTCGACCCCCCTCCTACCCTAAATCGCCTTACGTAATAAATGAATGGCCCCTTGATATATTTTTAACTAAATTATCTAATAAAGTTACCATGGCCCATATGAAAATTTTTCTGATATTATCGTGGCGATTAACGTGTTAATATAAGCACTTTTGAATAGTCATATTTTTTTATTAGATACTTGTGTACTTTTAAATAAATGTTTATCTAAATAAATAGATACTAACAAGGATTAGGTTTTATTATACATCGATTTTATAGACATTTCCATTACAGAGGAATTAGTCAGAAACATAAATTGTCCCATTTACGTATTTAATTTTATATAATTGTGTATGGTCATCCGGCTTGATTGGCAAGACGTTAGTTTATTAATTTTTACCGGATTAAACTCAGGCAAAGTTAGATATAATAGGTAAATACTTCGTATTTTAACTGCCAGTACCTCTTAATACTATTAAATCATATCAGAAATTAACCATTTTATATTGCGAATATTTTTTTGTTGGCAACATTATCGAATTCATCTATATCCAATAATAATTAGAAATATAGTAGTAAGTTGGTTAGGAAGAATTATAAATAGCGGGATTTTTGTAAAAAAACCGTACCAAATGAATAAAAATTTCGCGAAAATAACTATACTACTCTTACTCACAGAAATTAACAATGTTTTGTAAGTGTTAGCACCACCTTTAATAGCTTGTAATAATTCTAAGAAATAAATGCTTGCACCTTTCCATACAAATATTGTTTTGATTTAACTAAGGCGGGTATGCCAATGCGAATCAAAACTTTTAAAATGAATTCATGCAAACAGTTACTTGTAAATTGCACATTTACAGCATATTGCTGTGCTAAAAAAACTGGTAACACAGTTTCATGCAAAAAATATTTTGATCTTTAACGTAAGGCTGTCCTTATTGACTCTATGGTACTTAACAAATACGCGCGAAAAATACGAATGTCAAAAAGTTTTTCCATCTACGAGATATTTATATTCTTTATAAATTTATTGCTTGCGTTTTTAAAAGTAGCTAATTCTTTATACATACTATTAATATTATTATTATTATTATATACAAGCAATAATCTATACAAATAAAGAGACTATTTATAACTTCGAATCCATAGCTTTTCGGTATATCTGTATGGAAGTCTATACGGCACTTAGATAAAAACACTAATTACAAAATGAAAATAATTTATATAAAAACGTCTGTTTGTTCTTGCTGATCATTGAAACGGTCGGGCTGATTTTGACGGGACTCTCACCTGCAGATAGCTAATGTTATAAGGAGTAACAAACTAAGTCTACTTTTATTTTTAAAATTTAATTTATTTCTTGTATAATAAAAAACTGAAATTCCATTAGGCCAAAGTCGCCGGTAAAAGCTAGTTTGTAAATAAAATTACATACCAAATTTCCTTCGTTATATCATGAAAAAACTATTATATTGTTTATTCCCGTCTAAGTAATATTTAAAAAAAAATATCGTATACTTAATTATATGTATATATTATTATGTTCTTACATATGTGATTATAAAATTTTATTACCTATTTATCTACTTGAATAAAATCATACCTTAAATTAGTAATATTTTCCACCTTTTCTATATAAGCACTAATTATAAAAACTAAACACAAGAACAACTAGTTTATCACGAACTGCAACTAAAAAGTAAATGACAAAATCGTTTCGGACTTCGGACTACAATATATACAATAGACACTCTCCTTGAGCCATGAAGGAATAACTAAATATTAAATAATATGTCTTTATACTTACTAAATAGTATTAGTGTATCTATACTATCGACTTGGCCAGTAATCAGTATTTAGTGATTAGATATTAAACAGTAAATGGCGATAGTTAATTAAAAAAAAATTATAATTTTCGGTTCTTATCGATACATATAAATAAGTTTTATATAAGAGACGACATAGTAGATAAACACTGTGCAGATTTGTTTACAATTAATAGTTTGTATTTACACGAAGAACATTACTGAGCGAATGACTAAACATTATATGACAGTGACAGCCAGTTTGTTTGGTGTTTAGGTATAATTTTGTTGACTTTTAATACGTCACAAGGGCAAATTATATGGCGGGAAAGGCTCACCGTTCAAATTGATGATCTACTTTATTATACTGTTACAATTCTTAACTTGATTTATACTTGTAATGCCAATAATTGAATGTACTTATCAAGTTATCAAGACAACTTGCAAAAATAGATAATTACGGCAAATAGTCTGCTTGCTAACGGGGACAGTTGATCAAAATAAAGATATATTATATACGCGAAAGTTTGTGATTATGGATGGATAACTGAATGATGGATGGATGTTTGTTACTCTTTCATGCAAAAATGATTGAATGGATTTTGTTGAAACTTTACAGTAGTATAAATTTTATGCGAGAGAAACCGTGGGCACAGCTAGTATACCATAATACATCCTACTAGTTATAGGTGAAAGAATGAGATTTTAAAGTTGCAGTTACTTCAAGGGAAAGCCTTTTCCACCAACTTCAAAATATAGAGACTGCAGCTCAACCCGCGACTTCGTTCGCGTGGAATTTAACGGTATTTTTCTAAAATAAAAGTAACCTAAGTTTTATTGCATCAGCTACATGCCAAAATAAGTCCCGTCAAAATCGGTCTAGCCATTTCAGAGATTAGCCGGAACAAACAGACAGACAGATAGACAAAAATTGTAAAAACTGTATTTATATTCATATGCATGTAGTAAAACCCCCCTGGAAACTATCGTGATAAATTGTCATTTGCCATGATTACGTGCTCATTTTATCATCCTCCACTTGTGTCCATGTGCTAGTCGGGTGCACCATTCCATTATCATCCATAAAAAAACACGGTATTGCTAAGGTTTAATGTGCAAGGTACAAAATCTCTTTTTTTTCGGACTACTCTAATACTGTTGGCCGCAGCTGGCCTTTACAGCTTCACCGGACGAAAGGGGGCGAGTGCAGATCTCCACTGAACTCCAAACCTACGGAAGGACTTGTGGATCGACTGAAGGCCAACTCGCGCCTGACGGATACGACTTTAGTCTGAGGGCAGTGCTAGGGATTCGAACCTCGGCTCAAGCCGTAGTCAGGCCAATTTCGATCGCGGTTTGAATTGGACGGGGGATCGATACTACAAAATCTGTAGATACCATAGAGTAACAGATACTGAGTTGAAACTTTAGTACCTTGTCATCGTGACACTATTGACAATTTCAAACTTTATTGTGAAATTGTTTGCAACCGTTTCTACTTTGCTGGCCTTTGAAACGGCAGTAAACAAAAGCTAGGCATTAAATTACTCATTTACCTACAATCATTTGCCTAAACGTACTAAGTAAGTAAGTGTTACGACATTTCTTGTGGTGTCTGTGGTAATCTAATATTATAAAGGCGAAAGTTTGTAAGTGGATAGATGTTTGTTACTCTCTCACGCAAAGGTACGGACGGATTTTGATGAAACTTTACAGCCATATAGCTTATACTTCAGGATAACAGATTTGCTACAAATTTCATCCGGGTGAAATTGCGGGCACTTTTAATAATTTATATTACAGCGATATGGCGATTCATAGAGTTGGTAATATTTTCCAACATTTGGGTCGTCTTGTTCGTCATTCAAGTTACATAAAAACTCTTTATAAATAAATAACAAAGCTTTTGAAATAAAATAGGATTAATATTTTATTTCACAAATTTCTACCATACATTCACTTTATTTTAATGAAAAAGGAAGATCTCATTGTTTGACTTGTTTTGTTAATTGGTAAAATAAAAGTATGCAATAATAATTAATAATTTAGTTTGGTAATAACTTCATTTTTATCTACAGTAAATACATATGTATTTTATATTACATTATATTTTTATTACACATACATATATATGTATGTGTAATATAAAAGTCACAACGAAACGCAATTTTTATGTATATTTCAAGATTTTATTTTTGCAGTTAGCAACACTGGATTGCTAATGCCAAACCAAGTACTATATACATTCTAGTTAATTATAAGCACAAATAAATAATTTACTTATTACCTACCTTAATAATCACTAACAAATCAAGAAATACTATATTTATTAATATGTTATATTTTACTTGAATTGGAACACTTCATCATAGACTAATGTTGTAAGTACTTACATGTAATTAAATACATTTACTAGAACGAGTAGTGTTTGTAGACGAGAAAGGTCATACTAATTGGCTGCGTTGGGTTGCAAAATGTGTTAAGAATGTTAGAACTTACGAAAGCGATATACAAAGCGAAAGTGGAAGGTTTTAGTTGTATACTTGATTAGGTCTTTGACTTATCGTGCTGTCCGATGGTCTTCGAAATCGTCGTATATATGTTCTTGATTCGGATTATAGAAGTGAATGAAGCAAAAATGATGTGTAATAAGGATACAAATCTATGGTACATGCCTTTTGTTAGTTCCACAAGGAACTTGTTTAATTAATATTTGAATGCAACCTATTTTGTTACTCTTATGTGCCAGTATTAAGAAGAGAGTAATTGATTTTATTTGTCAAATTCACTATATGTAATTTTTATCACAATATATGTGTTGATAAAACTCATATTCTCAAGATTTATTCACTAAAACATTTTATTTTATATGGGACTTAAGTAAAGGCAGTTAGATTAAATCTTAGGTATTATATGTAATATATTTATTTTCTTTATAAGATGATGATCATAAGGTCAGTTAGCCCATTGTGACAAATACACCAGGAATTTGACACGATGGTTTCCAGCGGGAGGTCGAGGAGTGTGGAGGTCGACCTGACATGGTAGATTGCTAGCAATGGGGTTATCAATCCACATTACTAACAATCCACTTCCCCCCATAAACAAATATTATGCTGACCCAAATAAATGGGATAGCGTAAAAGCAGACGATAGGAAAAACTATAGTTGCTCTTTCCTAAAAATAAACATGTGTGAATTGATTCTTACAGATGGGATACACACAATAAGTATTGATGGTACAAGATTCAAACATAGATGATTTGAAAAAATGAATCCAGTTAATATAAAGGTTGAAGAACACACCACCATTAGTAATTTAGTTGTAACTATCAAACAGGAAGTTGTAGATGATGAATTCAATGATCCTTTGTCAGTACAAAGTAGCGCAAATAATGAATATAATTCAAATGGAGTTCTTGAAATAAAGAATGAAATACCAACAAAGCATGATATGGTAGGAAATGCTTCGAGTGTTGAAATTACTATTGAAATAGAACCAGATATACATACAAAAATTAAGACTGAAAAGCCAGAAGTAGATGACACAAATGAAATTGATATAGAAAATAATTTTGCTACAAAATATAATGAAAATACCATATTTATTAAAGAGGAAGTGCATGAAGATGCCTGGGAGGAACAAAGTGATGTTAAAGTAGATGTACAGAGGATAAAATCTGAACAGGATGAGTCTGACGATAAGTCAAAGATATCATCAGATAGTAATGACTTAATAGACAAATCTCAAAATGATGGTTTAACTTCTGGTAATAATGTCACATATATTTCCTGTGTTTTCATTTTTTAAGATAATAATAATTATGTAATAATCTACATACTGTAGATTTTTATTAAGCAGGTCATAAAAACCTAATTCATCAGCCTTTATGTTGTAATAATTTAATAATCTGTCTCACTGACAATTGAAGGTTTGATCATCATCTCATATTGATAATTTTCATGTTTTTATCATAATCATCATCATAGTCATATAGCTTATGTCAGGTGTTATAGGATAAGCTGCAAACTCGATTTGCAAACCCCTGAAATAGTCTGATTAATTTTTATGAAAGTTTTGTGCATATTTGCCTTTTGCATGTGCATATTTGTCTTAGGCTATTTTGTATATCCTTCGTGATAATTCGTGTCAATTGTGTGATAAGTGTATTAATTTTTCAACCTAATTTGTTTGCTGGGCAAAGTTCTCCCCCTCACAACTCCAAACCTCTCTATCATAAGCTTGGAGATGCCATGTCTTCTGAGTAAAGTGTTTCTATGTCTATATCTTTTAAATATCTACCTATAATTCAGGTTCTACTTCATGTGGGACTAGATCACGCTGAATAATGTCATCAACTATTTATTTATTAAAAATAAACTGATATAAACAGACTGTTTTAGCTACCAATGTAGCATCCCTATTTTCTTAGACCACCCATTTAGCTTCAGGTATTGTAGCTAATGGACTAGTAAGGTTCATTATCACTATATGATATTGAAACCTTTAAACTTATAAAAATTTTATAGCATAGTACATAATTTTTAATTAAATAATGCCAATTTAATTTACCATTTTTCAGATGGAAAGCCGACTACAGTTGAAACTTCAAGCAATGAATTACGATGTGATATATGTAATGAGGTATTCTCGTCTGTTGACGACTTGCGACTCCACACACAGGACCATACGGACCCTGAAACACACACTTGTATACCGTGCAGACGAAGCTTTTCTGGTGTTAAATCACTGCGTCGCCATATGGTGATACATACTAGCGAAAAACCGTATTGCTGCGAAATATGTCAGATGGCATTTACAGATAGTTCTGGTTTCAGCCGTCATAAGCGGCTACATTTCGGGGAGAAACGACATGTATGTGAAATTTGCGACATGAGGTTCCGAGACCACTCCAGTATGGACCGTCATATTATGCGAGTTCATAAAAATGAGAAAAGATACAACTGCGACTTGTGTCAGCAAAGTTTTCCCACAAATGTACAGGTCCAGTATCACATGAAGAGAGTTCATACAGATAAAAAAGAGTTTTGTTGTGACCAATGTCACCAGTCCTTTTCTGCAGCTAGATCATTGAAACGTCACTTATTAATACACAGTGGGGAGAAGCCATATAAATGTGACATTTGCCTGAAGGATTTTAGAGACAACTCGGTTATGCTTCGTCACAAACGCTTGCACACTGGTGAAAAACCTTTTCTTTGTAAAGTGTGTGATAATTATTTCATAGATCAAACACGATTGAGTATACATATGCGAGTTCATACCGGCGAGAGGCCGCATTGCTGCGAATACTGTGATCAGTCGTTCAGAGATCATACGCAACTGTCGATTCACACACGTATCCATACTGGTGAAAGACCATACAGTTGTGACGTGTGCCAGAAGAGCTTCAAAGACAAAAGATCGTACAAAGTTCATATGCGAATCCACACTGGTGAGAGGCCATACGAGTGCACAGACTGCGATAAATCTTTCAGAGACAATACTCTGCTGAGACAACACATTCGCATACACGCTCGCAAGCCGCAGTCTAATTGTACAGATTGTGAGAAGGGATTCAATGATGACACACAATTACAGAATCATATGCAGAAACACACGGGTGACAAACCATACCACTGTTCTATGTGCGTGAAGAGTTTCAGAGATATGTCACAGTTACGAATTCATACACGAACACATACGGGAGAAAGACCTTTCACTTGCACAGTGTGTAAAAGTGCTTTTAAATCACGTTCAGACTTGAATTGCCATATGCATATACATTCCGATGTGAAACCATTTAGTTGCGAAGTGTGCGGAAAGAGCTTTAGGTTCCAGAAACGTGTGAGGTATCATATGAGGATCCATACAGACGAGAGGCCTTATCCCTGCAAACTGTGTCCGCAGCGGTTTAGAGTGAGTGGTCACTTGAAGAAGCATATGAACTCAATCCATGCTAATGAAAGTACAGAAATAATAGTACCTGATTGAACTAGAGATTTATTTTTGCGAGAGTAAATTAACAATTTAGTAGAGGATTTGAATCAGAAATATGGGAATCAAAAATTAAATATGAAAGTGTAAAATCTTGTATTCAGAATTAGTCTATTGGCTCATTGTAACACATTGCTTGTAGCTAATTCCGCAAATTTCGTGTACAGCTTTGTGCGGTGGCATATCCATAGACAAAAGCAGCATACAAGTGCTAACAAGCTTTCACGTCCTGCCACAAGATCTTTAATTTTACATACATGTAGAAATTTTCTAAGTATACTCGCCTTTGAAAAATATGTACAAAGTTATTACCATCAAGTCATTAGTTGATTAACCTTGTTAATGCATCCATGTATTGTGTTGCACATATTATTTTTAAATTATGCAAACTCATAATTGTTAATATATTTTTTCAAGACACTGTTCATTAAACATAATATATTTATGTATCCATTACTGTTTATTGCATTTGTAACTTAAAATACATTATTTAAACAAGAATGCATTATCATTTACTTTTTCTTAGTGCCTGGCTCTGTAATAATATCAAAATATTCTATGAAAGTTATAAAAATTGATTGTGGAAAGTTATGTCAATACATAGTTATGTGGTTTGCTGCTTGCTTATGGTTTTATAGTAGATCGATTTTTTTTTATAACAGGGGACAAACGAGCATGCGGCTCACCTGATGGTAAGTGATTACCGCCGCTCATGAGCACCCGCAACACCAGTAGAATTGCAAGTACGTTGTCGGCCTTTTAAAAAGGAATAAGCTCTTTTCTTGAAGGTTTCAATATCGTATCGGTTCGGAAATAGCATTGCTGGAAGGTGATTCCACAATGTGGTTGTGCGAGGCAAAAAGTTTCTAGAAAACCGTACTGTGGAAGACCGCCATTCATCCAGATGATCAGGATGGTATTTCAGTTTCTGGCGGGTGGTACGGTGGTGAAACTCAGCAGCTAAATAATGTAATGCTAATGTAGATAAATGAAAGGCTGGAAGCAAAACTTTTTTTATGTTATGTAATTATAATGGCATACATGGTGACGGCCCACCTGGTAAGGAGTACCCGTTGTCTATATACGTGAACAGTACTGCGGATATCATGTGATACCTGTGATACCATTCGCAGATTCCGAAGGACTAAGATGTCATGCTGTAAGTTCACTGCGTTTAGGCAGACTACAATTGAGAAATAGTTTACGATAATAACGGCTTCATGGCTAAAATATTTGATATAGGTACTCACACAGACCTCGGTCTAACATTTCGTTTTCTTTTTATAAGCAACATCCTAAATTCAGGAGACCTTTTCTCCGTAGTCTACTTCGGGAGCAACAATATAGGAGTCCGATTAGCAGTGGGGATGCAATAGTAATGGGGACTGACTAGTTGCTCCATTGATAATGTACCCAGATCAATCTCCACACGGTCCCCGACGATATCATTGCGGTTGATGATGAATTTGCTACAATGGACTAACTGCGGTAACACGTGCCGAGATTTTCTTTAGAGAATAAATTGTGGGGTTTTTCAAAAAGGCTATATTAAGGTTTCTTAAGGGCTGACAATGCGCACGTAAAAACCTTAGTGTTTCAGGCGTTGGTAAAGGCTACGGTAACAATTTAACCTCAAATGAACCGTGTGGTTGGGCATAAATGCCACTTTCGTAATACTAAAAAAACTGATCAGACTTTAAGCTCAACCTATTATTGTTCACTGGTCACTTATTCCATTATTATTTATAAATAAAGACTGATTTTCATTCTAGCAATTTTTGTAATCCGTGAAATAAATTGGAATTCGTAACATATTGAAAAAGTAATAAAACATATTTATTTATTGGTACCTTCTTATATTTTGATTAAGTAATTCTTGATACATAAGGCAAATATCACTATGATATAATCATCGATTTCTAATCTTCTCAGTCTACGGTTTGAGCTCGGAGGTCGGAAAACGATTTACTGCAATAATAAAACGCAGCAGCATAGTATAGACCCCTAGCGGATGAACACCTAGAATTAAAACTAAAGTGTCAATGGCCGCCATCATCATTGCGATATAGTACTTACAGCGTGACAAGACATGTCATTACTGTTCATGATATATGAGAAATTCCAATGGCAGATTCTTTCTTCGGGTTCGATACTTCGTTCTCGGTGAGTTTATACATCTAAACTGTATAAAATAAACCCATAAAGTCCAATAATTAGTCCCAACTTGCGCCCTAAAAATTGCTGCCAGCATGCCATGTCGTATACGAACCTGTTGTTTTTATCGTATTTCAGCAATTTAGAGACATTATTTTCACTCGAATACTTGTACTACAAGTTGAAATTGAGTAATTTATCATTTAAAGCAAGTTATAATACCATGTGATTAAAATACAACGTAAGAACCAAAGTTCTTGGAAGATCTAGATCTTTACTAAAACAAGTTACTTGTTTATCCTTAATTTTTTAGCATATATAAATATTTATTTTAATCTTTGTAATCGCAATGAAACGACTAATGATGAAGACTAGGAGAATATGTATATTCATGTAAGTTTGCCATTAAGCTGCAATATTTGTTGGTGCAATAATTTACTTGAGTAACCATACTTTGTATTTTGGTTGATTCTTGGTACTAAATTTTTGTTTTTCATTGTCCAATTTATTTGATGTATATATATAATACATATTCTTTCATACAAAGTAAAAATCATGTACATTATTATTGTGCTGAATAGTGAAAATCTTTCTTTATTTAAATTATATTATTAAACTTATAAGATTTGTCTATAATACTTAATATACACTGAATAATATATGTGTTATATAGATGAATAAAGTATTGTTATATGTTTATGTTTTATAAAAATGAATAGCGCATGGAGGATATATTATAGATATTCTAAGAGAAATATATTAAAAAATAATATATTCATTTCTATTAAAAATGCCTAAATGACCAGTAAAGTACCATAACTTCACTAATTTATGATGTACAATCTAATAGTGTCCTTTACTTTTGTGCTTGCTGTATAACCTTAAAACAATAGACCCTATTAACAAAGGATGCAGGGGTAGCCTTATCTCTGTAAGAGATCCTCTCCAGCCAATAGTTGTATTGTTTTTTCCCCTATCCTGTCCAATCTGTCCTTAATAAATAACTAGCGGAGCCTGTGTTTTGATCCGCATGTAATTTATAGCCTATGTGTTGATCTTATGTATAAGCTATATTACTGTAAAGTTTTATCAAAATACATTCAGTAGTTTTTGTGTGAAAGAGTAATAAACATCCATCCATACAAACTTTTGCTTTTGTAATATGAATAAGATATGTTACTTTACATGTATATCCATACATATATATACTTATAGGGCTTTATTATTGGTAATATTTCACATTTAGTTTACTTGTTATGTAATTAGAATGCTAAAAAACTGATGGCCCTCCTGAAGGTGAGTGGTATGCATCATCTATATATATGAACAGAACTACACAAATCACTTTATCATAGATACCACACATGTACAACTAAAAACTTTTACAGTAATTTCTATTTAGAAAAATTTTAGATGTAGAAGAAAGATTGTGACATATTTTCTATAATATTCAATGAAATATATATTTGAATAAGCAAATTCTTTATTTGCTAAAAAAATATATAAATTAATAGTAGGTGGTATTGTATTCTATCTTCCTTTCTCTTTGTATTCTATTTTCTATTACTTGGTTTTTATTCAGCTTACCTGTCTAGCAAAGCTCTGGTATCTATATATTACAGTAGCCTGAATCTACAAGGAAAATGACTGTGAATGAATTTGGTTGTGTAATTTCATTATGAAACTACTGTGATACTCATCAACCTGCTTGTGGGGTCTGGTCTGTTCTAGTTATGACTACTGATTAAACTATTTCCTTTTGATAAAATTACAATAGCATATGCTGGTGGCCACTGTATTCTCCCTAATTTTGAACTTAATAATGAATCTGTGTTTTTGTAAACATGTACAAGCACATTTGAAAAGAATAAGAGCTGAGTTTCTTGTCAGTTCTTAGCTTGAATGCTCTCCGAACTGATGGTAGTTTTTGACACATCATAAGTCTGTTTAGACCTACATGAATAAAGATTCATAACCCTATTTCAATGAATACTTGGTCTATTTTTTTATTGGGTTGTTTGGATTATTATCAGGTGCAAGGACCTGTAGCACTGTAATCTACATAGATCTACATAGATGTGTAGCACTGCGACCTACATAGGTCTATTGTGCTCGCCCTTTTCAAAGTTCGCTACCTAGACCATCAGGAACAAGAACTGAAGGATATTCTTGGGAGCAATGATTTTTATCTCCTCAAGAAGAGTGTAAACTTTCCAAAGGAGATATTTCATTTATGCATGAGTGAGCTACAACCACATAGGATGTAGTGGCGTTTGCTCTTCAGTTTACAAATACTTGGTCTAGGAGTTATTAGTTAGTGTCTGATCATTGAGCTTTGATATTCTCATATAGCATTGATTTCAACATTATAATTTAAATATTTATAATACAGTGAATGAAAAGATGGCTAGTATAGGTATGGTAGGTGTATACATGTGTATTTATAAAACTGAACAGGAATATCAATTGTATAAACAAAAACAAAGGTTCACAATATTTTTTTAGTCTTTTGTTTACTATAATGCTTTAAGATATATTTAGGTGATATTTAAGTTTATCAAATATGAATGTAATTGGAGGTTAATGAAAGATTGTTGCATTAGAATAAAGATTATTTAAATACAAATAAACTTAATATAACTACTTTTGTTTGATAGCATATTTATTTATTCTACCACATGTTTGGAACACAGACGAAGAAGAAGACAAGAAGAATTAGTCAGAGACGGTTTAGAACTATAGGCATTGTCCATGATTATGTAAAATTTTGGCTAAAACCAAATAAAATCAAAATTCTCATTTTGCACTGAAACTACCCAAAATGTTATAATAATAATAATACCCTTTATTTACTGTTAACTTTACGAATTGATACCCGAAATTTTATAGGCAACTAACAATTGCCCTTTTTTTGCAGAACATAACTGATGATGATTGTCCTGGAGAACCATCTGAAGATGAGTATGACGCTCTCAACGATGAGACATTCGGCCAGGACTGTGAGTATACACTTTGATTTTCTATTTAAGTACCATATGCAAGGGCTCAGTATATATAATAATGTATAATAATGATAATAATGATCTAAGGACAATTCACACAACATCATCTAGACCTGAGTTAAGCTAGCTAAAGCTTATGTTATGGGTACTAGATAAATGATACGTATATATTTCATACATATTTTTTTCGTAAATACATACATATTATACATAGAAAACACCCAGACCGATACAAAAAATCATACTCATAAATACAAATGCCTGTGCCGCGCGAGGATTCGAACCCGCCACCATCGGAAGTAAGGCTATGTGTTAAACCGCTAGACCACCGAGGCATCATTCTATATATAAATAATTTGCAAGTTCTCAATGATATGAAACACTAGCCTCTGTTAACGGTGTACCAATAGCGGGTCACCAGTGGAGAATAATAAGATGAACTTGAGGTTAGGTCAGTTAGCCCTTTGTGGCAAGTACACTAGGAATTTATCACGATGGTTTCCAGAGGGAACCGCGTGAAGTCAACTTGACGTGGGACATTGGTAGCAATGGGGTTATTAATTCACATTACTAAGCATCCCCTTCGGGGGAAAAGAATTGCTGATAATGTGGACTGATGATCTCATTGCAAGGAATGTACCATGTTAGGTAGACCTCCACGCGGTTCCCATGGAAACCATGGTGATAAATTATCAGTGAATTTGTCACGGTGGGCTAACTGACCTCATGGTCATCTTATCATCCTCCGTTGGTGCCCCGGCAGCGTAAACCGTTAGCGCAGGCGGGTGCACCATTCCATTATCATCCATAAAAAAAAACCCTTCCCTCTATCATGGTATGATGTATTGGTATCATCAGTCCCCAATACTAGTAATCCCCTTCCGCCAATGATTAATTGAATATATTCTTGTAGCTGAGGAGTTGGACTGGGAAGTGGAACACGAGACCCTCGCGCTGCAACTGGAGAGCAACAGACGAAACAACAGTGGCATCGACGAGACAGCCAACAGTCAGCTTGGTATGTATTATTAAGAACTAGCTGAGCTCACAATTTCAGAGGCATATACATTTTTGTGTATTGATTAGAACAGGGCTTCCCAAACTTATTCGTATTGTGACGCCATTGGGACTTTGCTATTTTTTTGCGACGCCCCTCAGACCAGTCCCCAAAAATACTTACCGATTTTAGTAGTCTAGTTAACAGAAAAACACTATTGTTCAAATAGTATTTTTCTGTTAATGCGCCCAGCGCTCTCTCGAATCGGCCGCAATATTACATCGACAAAAAACGCCCCTGAGTAACGCCGCGATGCCCTGGGGCGTCGCGATTCACAGTATGGAAGTCCTGGATTACAATAAACATTTAAATTTTTAGTTACTCTTAATACAATACATCAGTGAAAATAGTACACAAATCGCTAATCTGTTTCTGAACTCAAAACTCAATTTATATGTTTGCGCACATTAATTCATCGAAAAACACAAAAAGTATAATCATTGTTTTTTTTCATGTCTTTCATATACAGTTTTTATATGTAGTAGCTGATTCGGCATACATTGTTTTGCCATATAAATTATTTCTGGATAGCGTTTACGAGAATTGAAAAATGGTAGTAAATATATATAAAAGTCCATACTTAACTCCATAAGAGCTTTGTTCCAGAAATCCGCAATTACCATAGCAAACAATAATTATGATACAGAACCATTTTATGTAATTTCAAATATCTTATGGAATCCCAAACATGATGTGACTTGATCACACTTAATGGAAACTTTCATCCATGACATATAAAAATAAATAGCAACATGGACCCCCCATATGGTATAACCTATAGAAATAAACAACCCCATGGACACTATCGTTCTATTTTTGTTGTGACATCAATAATAATGGTAATGTATACTTGTTACAGAGGCGTCTTTATCCCAGCTAGTGTTGGACGAGAGTGACTCGCCGCAATCCCGCGCTTTCGGAGGATCTAGCGTTTGGCGACATGACCTGTCCTTTCCTAGTGCTCCCACTGTGAGTAATAACTATGTATATATATACCTATGCTTAAACTTTCGCGTTTAGTACACATTATTAATGTAGTTAAACGGATTTTAACACGAATAATTTGATGGCAAATAAAGAAGTTTGGAAATCAAAACTAATAAAGGAAAACAGTTGAGTTGTTTGCCAGTTCTTATTAATTGAATCTGTATACTGAATAGTATAGTAGGGAAAAAATATTAGTACAAATAAACTTGACATTCAGAAGTGGGTGAAATGTCCTAAAAACATGTTTTTTTTATTTAATTGGCAGTAGAAATAAGTGACATCGTACAGTACAGTACAGTGCAGTAGAAATAAGGCATTGTGATTGTTGACTAGACAATGAATGATGGGTACAGGACAATCATTTTTATTTAAGTTTTCTATAATAATATGTGTATTTTTTTTAAAAAATGTGAATATGTCAAATGATTACTTGAATGACGAGTGTCCATGGCAGTAGTTGTTCATGCACTGGATTTTCATTTAATATTAGACATAGACACCTATATAAATATACATTGTAAATAAACTGGCTTTAAAAAAGAAAGTAATTCAATTGAGTTTCTTGCCAGTTCTTCTCAATTGGATCTATATACCGAGTTGGACCTACATGAATAAATGATTTTTGAATTTGAATTTAATTTTTTTTCTACATAATACTTGTTAGTATAGTAGTATGATATATCATAGTATGTTGATTATATTGGAATATTGTTCTGACATTCCATATAGCCGGTGCCGACTCTTAAAAATGTGTGCACGGTCGAAGAGTTGGAGCGGCAGTTACGTCAGAAGCAGATGTCACAACCGCAGCAGAGTTTCAATAACCAGAACTATTTCCAGGTGAGAGGTGTAGCTGTCTGCACTCATAAATCAATTTATGCTTATATGTGCATATTTTTACTTATCTTATATATAAAATTCTCGTGTCACAGTTTTCGTTCCCATACTCTTCCGAAACGGTTTGACCGATTCTCATGAAATTTTGTGAGCGTATTGAGTAGGTCTGAGAATCGGCTAACATCTATTTTTCATCCCCCTAAATGTTAGGGGTAGTCCACCCCTAATTTTTTTATTTTATTTTAAGGCAAAACGTTTGCCGGGACAGCTAGTTATGTATATTTAGACAACACAAATTAAGTACATTTCAATTTAGAACATGATATGTCAAAAAAATGGATATTAAATGCCTATTTTCTGAGCACTATCAATATATGTATGTGTATTATTATATGTATTTACGTACATATAATAATACACATTCTATATAATCTTAATATAACTGCTGTTTTATTTTGAATTGATTCGAATAGTTATGCAAAACTACAAAAAGTCTCAGGAGACATTAGAAAATGAACACTTGCTGAGATTGCTTTCAAATAATTTATAACCTGTAAATTTTGATCTTAGGTACACAATTTATTAGTCTAATTTTGTTCTTTTCCCAGCCAAGGTTTCCACCAGTTATCTTACAACGACCGCCGGGCCTCCAAGCGCCTGTGCCGCTACCATTTGCCCCCCAACAGACGATGACACATAATTTAAATCAACTGAGCCAGCCTCTTAACAATATCATTGGCCAGAATAATCAAATTAACCAGATGACACAACAAAACCTCATGCAGAACCATTTAACATCTAATGTAAACCAGTTGGGTCAAAATTTGAATCAATTGGGACAAAATATTAACCAACCAAATCAGAACGTGAATCAGTTCATGCAAAATGCGAATCAAATGTCCAATCAGTTTCAAAACAACCAAATGGGACAGAACAACATAATAAATCAATTGTCACAAAATATGCAAAATATCCATCCGCTATCTCAGACCAATCTGATGCAGAGTCAGTTAGGTCAAAATCAGATCAGCCAGAACCAGCTGTCCCAAAATATGAACCAGTTGGGACAAAATGCTAATATGACGCAAAATATTCCTCAAATGAACCAAAATGCCAACCAAATGGGTCTAAGTATGAACCAAATAGGCCAAAGTGTTAATCAACTGGGTCACAATGTGAACCATATGAATCAAAATATAGGCCAGATAGGTCAAAATATGAATCAGATGGGACAAAATGTAAATCCGATTGGACAAAATATAAATCAGATCGGACAAAATATAAACCCGATTGGACAAAATATAAACCCGATGGGACAAAACTTAAATCAAATGGGACAAAATGTTAATCAGATTAATCAAAATGTAAACCCTATGGGGCAAAATGTTAACCAGATTAATCAAAACGTTAATCCAATGGGACAAAATGTGAACCAAATCTTGCCAAATGGCAACCAATTTGGATCAGGTATTAACCAGTTCCCTCGTATGATGGGACAACCCAGGATGCTTGTACCACCACCTGGAATAAACATGCCCAGGCAAAATTTTAACTCAAATATGGGCCAGTTTAATTCTAATTTTCGTGTAAGTACATCTTTTTATTTTTCTATTTTTTCCTCTTTGATTAATTAGATACATTCACTTAAAAGAATATAATTCATTTAAACAGAAAATCGTTAACAATTACATAAAGTACTTTAATCAGTATTATCGTTTTTTTATATTTTGTTCCGCCAATATCTTCCTTTTGTGGGCATGGCTTTGTTATGGTTATCTTTGCCAGTTCCAGATCATTTCCATCGACAATTTTTTGCAATATAATTGTTTTTATTTTCATGTCTATAGACAACTTTTTTTTCATTATGTGGTTCCTATTCTGCAATTTTAGTCCTGTATAGAAAATTCAGGCAAGTTAAATTAAAAAATAATTTATTCATGTTAATATATATTATTACTTAAGTGTGTTTATTTAATTTTTACCTTTAATGTAAACATTAATTACAGGGCCCAACAATTCAGCAACCAAAGCCAACAGAGCAGTCATTGAATCAAAACATGATTATGAACCAACAGATAATCCAGCAACAACAAATAAAAGCGCAATCACCATTGAACAATATAAAACAACAACCAAATCAGAATCAAAAAACGCAAAATCAAAATCAATTGTTGAATCAGAATCAATTGCTGAGTCAAAATCAATTGCAGAATCAGAATCAATTGCAGAATCAAAACCAATTGCAGAGCCAGAATCAATTGCAGAGTCATAATCAAATACTTACTCAGAATCATTTACAAAATCAAAATCAATTGCAAAACCATAATCAATTACTGAGTCAAAATCAATTACAGGGTCCGAACCAATTGCTTAATCAAAAACAATTGCTTCAGAATCAGAATCAACTGCAGGGTCAGAATCAGTTGCAGAGTCAGAATCAAAATCAGTTGCAGAATCAGAATCAACTACAAAATCAGAATTCAAAATTGCCACAGAAGGTGGATTCAAAAGTGCAGAAAAGTCGGGCGTATACATCAAATAATGCTAAGAATCAATCTCAGAATTTAACATCTCAGAATTTGGTGCAGTTGATTCAGAGCACACATCCGATGTTGCAATATAACAACAGTTACCACAACGCTAGTCACCATCCTATTTTGAACAACAGAAACCTGTTTGGTAATCAATTTATGAATAATCATCCGCTTTTTAATAATCAAAGAAATAATGGATCATACAGCAATAATAGGTGAGTTTGTAACTGATAGTTAGTTTTATATAAATGCAATAAAAGTTAAAGTGCAATAAGTATATTCTATTTCAATCAGACATGTTTCAGTTGTAGGGTCTGATTAGGCAAATTACAAGTTAAACTATAGCATTGACAGGAATTAAAAATTTATATAATAAAAAAAACTACTGGTAATATCTTAATAAAATGTATGAGAAACATCAGTGTACAAAAACAAAAAGTATACTTAAGAATGATAAAACTACTACTGCGTAAATAGTGACCTTGACCAAATTAAGAAAAAATATTTTATAATCTAACTAATAATAATAAATGTTAAAAAAATAATTTCATTGACATTTATTATTATTCAAAAATGTCGAATTTCCATAAAAACTTTCATTTCTATCTATTTTATTTTAAGGGTAAATTTTTTACAACCTTTTTTGTCATATTTATTTGTATTTAATCAACAACCGTAGGTAACTTTGAAGCTTCTGGTTTTAAAAATTATAATTCTTTTATACAACCCTGCATCCCCCGTTTCAACAACCCTTTACAACCTTTTTTCGCATTAAAAAGTAGCCTATATCCTTTCTCGGGGTCTAGTCTATCTGATTGTGTCAAATTTAATTCAAATCGTTTCAGTAGTTTTGGCACGAAAGCGAGACAGACAGACAGAGACTTTCGAATTTCTAATATTAGTAAGGATTGCTATACTTTTGCAGGCATATGAACGGTGATGACTTGAGCGACGACGAGTATGCTGGCCTTATGACGCAGAGAGAGAAGCAGTGGCTTATCAACATCCAAATGCTGCAGCTGAACACGGGCACACCGTACATACACGACTTTTATTATACCGTGAGTGAAACAGCTTACTTTTTGAACTAGACTTTGTAGAAAGTCATCTGCATACCTCTGATTTTAGCCACTAAGCGGCTTAAGCAAAACACACTTGTGTTGCCGTTGAAGAGTAATACAAGTAATAAGAGGGTATTAGTAATACTAAGGCATGATACATTAGTCGTCTAGAATAGAAATAAGGGCACTTTAGGTTTCACATAACAATATCTTCGCAGTGCTGTTCCTCTAATATATAAAATTCTCATGTCACAGGTTTCGTTTTTACAATCCTCCGAAACGGCTTGACCGATTTTGATGAAATGTTATATGTATATTCAGTAGATCTGAGAATAGATTTATAACTCATTTTATACCCCTGCGTGTTAAGGGTGGATCACCCCAAAAAGTTTTTTTAATTTTTTCGACAAAATTTTATATTTTTTTTATTATGTATTAAAAATACATACAACCCTAAATTTTCACCCTTCTATCACCAACCCCTATTTTAAAAGCAATATTAATTTATACGGCAAAACAATGTTTGCCGGGTCTAGCTGACCCGTATATAGTATGTATATATAAATAAGTCATTTACATAAACCATTTCAGTAGTTGCTACATGCTATTTTGTCTACGCTAATATTATGCAGATTGCGAATTTTTAAATATATTGTAAAAATGTTTTAAGATCAATGTGTTGATTGCTTGCGATTTAATATGGGTGAAGATGCACTTGTATTCATGGTACAATTAATTGCTGAATTAATAATAATTTATATGTAGTTGTATTTATTTTCGATAGACGTAATGATGTGCACCTACTTCCGCTAATGGTGGACGCTGGCAACAAGGTATGATAATGGGATTAGGATGATGTTAGTCAGTGTCCTGTGAGGCCCTCACAGGGCCTTAGTCACAAGTGGACAAACATATGGCAAACCTATGCCTATGCACAACAAAAATCTGCAGATTTTAACAAATTGAAAAGGAAACGCCACTACACATCCCATGTTGTTGTAGCCCACTCATGCATAAACGTAATATCTTCTTTGGAAAGTTTAAACTCCATCCTAAGGAGATAAAAACTATGGCTCCTAAGAATATTCCTCAATTCTTGTCCCTGACGGGTCTAGGTAGCGAACTCTGAAAAAGGGCGAGCACAATAGATCTATGTAGGTCGCAGAGCTACAGGTCCAAGCACCTGACAATAGCCCAAACAACCAAATAACAATAGAAAAAATAGTCAGTCAGAGTATCGATTAAATTCAGCAGGAATTACCCTCGGTTGTTTCCAGGAACTGTGTGGAGGTCGACCTGACATGGCAATAAATTTACTATATTAATGATATGTACTTTGTTTTTTTAGGTATTTCTCGAGAGGCAGGCAAGCAAGGAAAAGGAGAGTGAGGCGCACAAAGCTAATCAGCAGAACCATCCCTTCTACAGTGGTGGTAATTATTACATTTTATT